CCATGGTCGGTGGCATCGTAATCAAGCGAAGGAGGTCGGAGAGGCTGTAGATGGACAACTAAGGTTGAGGGTCACTACATGAAAATTGTCAATTACTAGCAGATTTTTCCGACGGCTTACTGGTTGACAATCTAATTGTGATATAGATAATTAGAAAATAATCTAAAGCAATAGTGACTTCTCTTCTTCCACTTCTTCTTTCTCTTCTTCTTCAACTAAAAGGACCACAGCTGCTTAAAGATATATCCTTCTTCCGTCAGGCTTTGTTCATCAAACACTTTGTAAGTTTCATCAATCTAATCAAATATTTTGTGATGATGGATTTTTTTGCATAAAAAAGAGTGTAACTGTATACGTCGAGCCATATTCATATGTGTATGAGCGAGATTTTTACTGCAATAAGACAATAAATAACTCATCTAAACTCAAATATTTTTCAGTAGTTTGATGTGGGATGATGCTGGTTTATCTTGTGGTTATACTTTAACACTATCAGAAAATTGTGCTATGGTAGCATAAATATGGACCTTTTATGCCGGTTTTAACCGCTACAAATTTCTTTGCAAACCGCTGCAAGTCCGCTGTGATAACAATGCGCTGCAAAGATATTCTGCCACGGTTTTACGACCGTTTGGGTAGATAATGCGAAGTGCTAGTTATTGCAGGGGTTTAATCTGGGTAGTGAACTTTATGAGTCTAGCAGGCATCTTGGCCTTCTTGACTGGTTTTTGGTTGTTTTTGCTGCTTACATAATGTCTAACACTCTAACTTTTGGTTATTTTGCCTTTTGAGGCTGGTTTTCTTAATTTGGTGATTATGCCTTGTAATTTTTATTTGTCCTTCAAAGCAGTTGCCTAAAATATAAATTTGTCAAAATTAGACTTCTTAAAATTTTTAAACCAATTTTTTTTTAAATTTTTTTCTTAAGTAGTTTGCTTTTAGTGGAATCCATTAATTACATTAAACAGTTAAACTTATTAGTGATATTGATTCCTTATATTTTGGCTTGTAAGTTGTTACTGCAATATCATGATGGAGAATAATAAATTAAGAGTTTGTTTGGAACGGTTATAATTTATTCGTAAAAGTGATTGTAAAATTGTTAGAGAAAAGTACTTTTTTAAAGACTGTTGTAAAAAGTAGCTTCCCGACGCAATTTTTTTTTGAAAACACGTACATACAACTAGTAGTCAAATAAAAATTGTGATTGTGATCCCAAAAATAAAATATTAAAAAAATATCCCAAAGAAGCCCTAAATAACTGAATTATTAAACAATAAAAAATATCTACATTCACAATTGATTATTGTATAGATCTTTTTCTTTACCAATCCAAACAAGGCAGGATTAGGCTAACACTATCTATTATAATTGATGCAAGATGTCACAATAGATGTCTCTTTTCTATTTGACATTTTATGCTTCGTTTGATACAACTATTTTATTGATTTCTAAAGCAGTTTTTTAGTACAAAAATTTTTAAACTAATAAATTTTGTATTAAAATGCTGCGTTGAAAACATTAAGAAAGCTGTCCTAAATGAAATATTAGGCTTCATTTGGGACGACTTTCTTCTTGCTTCCTGTAGCAGCTTTTTTGTACAAAAATTAAAATTTTTATACTAAGAAGCTGCTTTAAGAAGTAGTAAGAAAGCCGTCCCAAACGAAGCCTTAATCTTCTGCAAAAATAAATAATATTTTAAAGAAAATCATGAAATAAATATTTAAGTTTTCACTTAATTAAATAATAAACATCATCTTTGCAACTACTTACGAGCTTCACAAATGAGTAAGAAAACAAATTAATGAAGATTTTAATTAAATAAGAAATTTTCTTGTAGCTCTTCATATCTTTGCTAATGAGATGCCCCACCTCTCCAATTTCAATATATATTTTTTATCTTTAGGTGAAGTCATACTCTGTCAATTACTATTGTGTATAAAAGGTTTGTTGACCTAAGCCAATTACCATCTTAAATTTATAAAAAGATTATTCCTTCTAGACTCAATTGCAGGGTAAACTAAAGATGACAAAATTAGCTAAGCATGGCATATGATATTTGAGTTAGGGGTGTCAATTTTGGGTCACGAGCAGGTTTAGATCGAACTCAGAACTGACCCGTCTGCACTATTTGGGTCAACCCGACCCGCTTTGAGTTCGGGTCAACCTTTCCTGATCCGCAGATAGGGCAACGCCATTAGTGGCGGGTTAGCAGCACGATGGGCCAGCGGGAGGCGATAGTGAAAGCCAACGGAAGCGGGCCAGCGACCGATGGCAGGACGCGGGGTGGCGAGCAGGCGAGTCAGCGGTTAGCGTAGTGGGCAGGTCCGGGAAGCGATGCAAGGCTTCGAGATGTGAGCGGCCAGGTCCGATCAATGCACGCAGTGCGGGTCATTCCAGCTTAATCTCGAGTTTCCGGGTCGACCCGAACCCAACCTGGTTTGGTCTCAGGTCAACCTGAACCCAAAATTTCCGGATTTGATTCAAATTGGATTTTCGGGTTGTGTCAAATATTGACACCCCTAATTTGAGTGTTTAACACATTTTCGTCTAAAAATAATAATTCGATAAATATGAGCAAAAGACTAAGAGTTTATTTGAGATATATTTCTTACTACTTTCTAAAGCAGATTTCTAGTCCCAAAATTTCTATAAAAAATTTTCTAAAAAGTTGTTTTAGAAAACAATAAGTTGTCACAAATGAAGTCTCACTATTTTTTCATTGTTTTCAAGAAATTTATGAGTTAGAAAGCTGCTTTAGAAAGAAGTAAGAAAAGTGCTCAAATGAAACCTAATACTTTATTTTGGACGACTTTCTTCTTACTACTTCTTAAAACAGTTTTTTAGCACAACAATGTTTAAAGCTTCTTTAAAAAGCGGTAAGAAAGTCGTTCCAAACAAAATTTAGGCTTCGTTTGGGATGACTTTCTTTCTGCTTCTTAAAGCAGTTTTTTAGTATAAAAATTTTAATTTTTGTACTAAAAATTTGTTTTATGAAACAGTAAGAAAGCCGTCCCAAACGAAGCCTTAAACCTAATGCTCTCCCATATCCTAACAAATTGTTAGCATTCTCTTTCCAAATAGATCTCTCATCGAATCATTCAGATCCAAAATAATCCTTTGACATGCCTCCAAGCAAACTCAACTTGTTGGTCAGAGGATTAGGCTGTCTTTTCAGTTTTTTTTTTCAGCAAAATGGGAATAATTTAAGGCGCAAATTTCGCATTCTGATGATCTGAGCTTAGAATGTTTGAAATATATGTTGGGGTGGAAGCCAAATGGCAGCACCCTCCCTTTATCTCATTTATTGACATACCTATTCGACAAGTTGCGACTGGATCCACATTTGATTTATGAATTAGTATATTCTCTTCTTGAAAAAAAAATAAAAACAATAATAATACCATATCATTTACCTATCAAACAATGAAGAAGATCCGAAGAAACTTTCTTTAAGCTATAGAAATTGGAAAAATTGCAAGCAAATTAAACACAGATTCATGCTTGCATTTTATTGGTTTATATATGCATAGAAGGCACTGTCATGTGCAAACCAGCTAACTTGCAAAAGATATTATATTTTCAAATAGGGAAGGAGAAAACCTTCAAATTTTAATAGTGGATAAAATAAGATTGGGGGCCTGGGCCATTCAAAACCCTAAAGGTTGTTGATGTCGAACATTCACGGCGACGATAGAGAGATTATGAGCTTGATGTTTTAACTTTGAATGAAGATTTAACACATATACATATAAGAGAGAGGAATGTAGCAATCATAAGAGATACCAAAAATTTTGCGTAGAGAACACAGGAAAAGAAAAGATTTTGGGCCCTGACAGTGTTAAAATGAGTCTACTAGTATTTATCGTTGATTACATATGATGCACTTCCTCGGGGAAGTTGTTGGCTCAATGTAGCAAATTACATGATTAGGGTTGGAAGAATCCAATGCCATGAGATATATTCTCAAGAGAATGTTTGCATGTTTAATTGGTAGATAAAATCACAGTCAGACGACACTGATCAGATGGATCATAGTCAGATGATTGAGGTTGTAGGGATTATAATTGTCTAGAGATAAAGATCAGAGTGACTGTAGTTGGCAGGCAACTATAATAGGAGGGATTGTAATTAGGCAAAGGAGGTCGGAGGGGCCGTAGTTGGACAACTGAGGTTAAGGGTACGGGTGTCAATATTCGACACTACACGTAAAACACTAACCCAAAAATTTCGGATCAGAGTAAATCCATTTAGTCGTGAATTTTACTCTTTATTTATTTTTTTAATGAGATAATGTTATTTACCATTGTGAATAGATATTATTTTCACCCACCATTTAACTCTAAGAAAAGAAAGGCTAAGAGTATTGTCATTAAAAATAAAACTTAAGATATTAAGCAACTAAAGAAAATCATGCCCAATCAATAAACTTAAAATTTATGTAAAGAGTTTACTTTCTTCATTATTCTTTTAATTATGATTATTTTAAATGACATGAACTCAATTATGTGAGTAGTACTCTTTGATTTTTTTTCCTAACTGAACGGCTTTCATTAATTTGACAAAACCAATAAAATAAACAAAAATAAAAATGCATTATTGCATCAAATTTAAACGAATTTAGACTCCAATAAAATTGAGATTTTTTATGGATTGTAAATTCTTTGCCAAAAAAATTACATTTACTCGAAATTCCAAACTCATGTATCAGTATTTTATTTATTTAATAATGTGTTAATTTATAATTAATTAGGATATGAATATATAAAGATTAATTAATATGATTAAGTATGATTTGAATAATATTATTATAATTATATAACATATATTAATTTCAATAATAATAATAATCATCATTATTATTATTATTAAAATCTTAGATTTTGAAGAGAATTTCAAAATCCAAACTTGATATACATTTCTATTTTATATCGGTCCGAATCACAAAATCTATATATCTAACAAAACAATCCAGTTGAAAGCAATGTTCGAACAACAGACAATTATCGACTTCTATTTCATAATTCCAAAATTTTTAAAAAAATTCTTATAACGAAGCTGCAGTATTCTCTATTTTGATTCTTTATGTAGATATATAAATTTTCGAAAACAAGAAAATATTCCTGCAACTACCTTGTCGCCGCCGCGAGAGGAACCACCTCAGCCAAAGGCGTCGGCAGCGGGGAGGGCACCGGCGATGACCGGCAGACCGGACAAGTCGGGTGCCGCCGGAGCCACGGATCAACGCACTTCACATGAAACAGATGCCCGCACTCCGGCAACAGCCTCAGCATCTCCTCATCTGCATAGTCTGCCAAACACACCGAGCAACCGGAGTCGCCGGCCCGTGGGTCCCGCCGCTTGGCTTCCGCATAAGTCACCTTCGCCCAGCTCTTGAGAACGGCCTCGTCGAGCCCGGCTTCGATATTGTTGTCATCTTCATCATCATCGGGATAGTGGTGGCGGTGGCGGGATGGAGAAGAGGAGTTGGCGGCGGTGGAGGAACGGGTACAGAAGTAAGACATGAGAGTGATGGTGGTGATGAGGAGGAGGATGCCGACGGAGATGCCGACCCCGTAGCCGAATTTTCCGATCCTTTCGGAGCTGAAGATGGTCGCGGGAGAGTCGCCAGGGATGAGGCCGGCGGTTGAGTCGCCGGAGGTGGACATTGGGGGAGGAGGTGTGGAAGGGTATTGAGATTGGTGATTGGTGTATATATGTTCAGATTCTGTTTGGTTGACTGCAGGGTTGGGAACAGGAGGTGAAGTAATTTTTTTGCATTGGTTACAGTTTTATTTAGATTTATAATGGTTATGTTATTTTGAGGAACAATTATTAGGTGAGGTGACCTGACGTAGCTTTATATTCGGACGCCAATAATATGTCGCCATGTGGTCTTACTCAATACAGTGCGGCCCGACGACTTGACCCGGGATTGCTATGTTCGCGTATTGCTCGGTATTGCTCTAGGTATTGCTCGGTATTACTAAGCATTGCTCGGTATTGCTAAGTATTGCTTGATAATAATGAAAAATATCGCTCGGTATTGCTCGGTATTACTCGGTATTTCTCGGTATTGGTCTTCACAGAATGGTATTTCTCGTTATTGCCGAGCAAAATCGACCAATACCTAGCAAAACACGAACATAGCAATCCCGTCTCTGTTCCGGGTCAGGGTTGTCGGGTTGCGCGGTCAATAGTGAGAACATGTGGCACTATTTTACTGGAGTCCGAACCTAGAGCTACGTCAGGTGATCGGACCAAATAAAAGTTCCATTTTGAGGGTATTGTGTAATTAAAAAATATGTTGAATTGTTCTAAATGCTTGCTTAATCACTTTTTTTTTAATTCTTTGATTATTTTTTAGTAAAGTATTAATCCGAGTATTATTAAAATAATATATTTTAAACTAATAGGTATATGTGATATGCCCTCCTAAAATTTCACTTGATCAAAAGAAAACTAAAGGTAATATTTAAATTGAAAACTAATGAAATCAAATAAAGGGCCATTCAAATTTCGATTTTAATAAGCTCATAGTTGAACGTCTCGATGAGATGAACACCACAAATTATCTAAGTCAAATCGAGCAACTCAACGAGAGAAATCAAATAAGCCAAAGATCATATATTCTTACATCATTAAGACACATAAATGCTGGATAAATGATTGATGATCAAGGAGATCATTCTGGATTATTGATTGAGTGATTTAAATTTTGGTCAAGTTTTTAAATAGCTATAATAAGTCATCATTTTCTATGTGGTAGATGATTGGGAATCAAGAGAGCTAAAGAACTCCATTATATATTTTGTCGATCACTATTGAGGACCAACATTAGCAATAGACAACAATATTGTTGGACATCCGTCAATGGACTATTGTCGCTTGGCTACGAACATCTTATCCTCTTATTGAACTTCAATTGTTCGCCTGTGAATTCCCAACATTTATAATCCTTATAATGCCAATCAGCCAATTGTTTTTAATTGAATAATTTTGCATTCTTCAAGTATGGAGAGAGCAAATTCTTGTACCTACAATTATATATTTAACTGATAATTGCAAGTAGGTCAGTCCCCCTTTTTTTTTTTTTTCCCTTTTTAGCTTTCTCAGTAAAAAAATTGTTCTCTAATTACTTCTATCTATGCATTAGGGGTGTCAATTTCGGGTCACTGGTCGGGTTCGGGTCGAACCCGTTACTAACCCGGGTTCAAACGGGTCGACCCTAACCCGACCCGGTTAGGTAAACGGGTCGTAAATGAAAACCCGGACCCGACCCGGCGGGTTGCCGGATTGACCCAACCCGACCCGGGAGACCCGTTTTTCAAACGGGTCGATTTCTGGAACCCAAACGCTACCCGTTTTGAAACTGGGTCGGGTCCAACCCGAATTTTTCGGGTCAGGTTTTCGTATCAACACTAATATTTAAATCTCCAAAAAATTTAGTTGATTAACACAAATTTAAAGATAATATTTGAATCAAAAACTTCTGAAAGTAAATTCAGAATCATCTAAACTCTAATTTTAACAAGCTTATTGTCAAATTGAATGTCTAGACTAGACAAACTCATTAATTCCAAAAGTGACCAGATAAGACTCTCAATATGCTCAAATCAAGCTTTTGAAACATAATTGAAAACTTCTTAACATTAGCTGAAAGACAAAATAATCTCCAAAACTTTTAAGTTTATGATCAACTCAAGTGACTCAAGGAGACACGCCCAACAAAGTCAAGATCATTCGATTATGACATGATTAAGTCGCTCAAACGCTATAAAAATGTGAGAGAGGTTTGAGAGTTGAGAGTAAAAAAAAATCTATTGTATATTTTCTTGATGTCCAGTACTAATGAGCCCCATTAGCAAATATAGCCATCATTGTTTAACTTCTATCATATGACTATTGTCTCTTGACTACTAACATCAAATCTTGTAAATGGACTTTAATTTTCTGCCAGTGTACATTGGGCATCCTTAATCCACACAACGATAATCAAACCATTATTTTTAATTATGTAATATTGCGCTCTTCAATTATGAAGAATATCATATTCTTGTACTTATAATTATAGATTATTGCAAATATTCTAGAGCTCGCAATTTTTACCTTTTTGGATATTTCACTTAAAATTTTTGATCTATTACAACTTCTATTTGTGTATGGGGGATCTTCTTATAAATTTAAGATATTAGCACACACTTTACCTCCTTCAATTTTCTTGCACATAATAATATTATAAAAAAAGTACATTGGCAAGGCATGAGTCTTATCCAATTATGAGAAGAAAATGTTTTTTCCCCTTAAATTGTAGCAAAGTTTATTCGTCGATAAAATAAATAATATAGATTATAATAGAGATATATATTTTACTTATAGGCCATTATAATGAATGAGGGAATGTCAAATGTGAATTTGTTAGGGGGGGGAAATGTTAATTTCCTCGTGCTCTCTCCAATCAATAATAATTTTTTTTAATCTACAAACTACATGTTAAGGTTTTGTTTTGGATGACTTTCTTATTGTTTTCTAAAGCATATTTCTAGTATAAAATTTTTTAAAGCTAATTTTTTTTACTAAAAAATCGTTTTAGAAAGCAGTAAAAAAGCCGTCCAAAAAAAAAACCTAAAAATAATATCTTATAATTCAAAAACAAAAAGCTTAATATATAATTTTTTTCCACCAAATGAGATGAGCAAGTTTGTATTCAAATCTAGCAATTGATTGAAAGTCAACAAATGTACCATATGGGGATCTATGCTCAAATAGGTAAGTCTAAATCTTTTTCCAATTACCCAAATCTTGTTTTTACTTTAAGCTTTGCCTCAACTTTGACCAAACATTATAGCCTACTATTAAATCTATCGCACCTCTTTAATTGCAACACACGCCTCCCTTTGCTATCCAAGGAACGTATAAGATGACTTTGCTAATGTATTTGATAATATGCTTGAAGATGGCAATGTTAGGGCTCTATTCACATTCGTTGATCGAAGAATTTATGATTGTGATCAGGTGGTTTGAAGAATTTCTTTGGTTAGAGATTCAAGAGAGTTTGAAGGCTTGAAGAATTTCGGAGCTCTACTCAAGCACCAAAATCATTCAAACAACTTTCACCTTATATCGACTCCGTTATATTTTCAACAAAATTTTCATATTTTGATGAGCTTATCATATTTAAGTTAAGAGACAGGCAAACATTTGTAATCAACGCTGATATAGTGAAATCATTTCTGCTAGGTCAACCCTCATAGTTTTTTCTCATTTTCGAGTTTTCAACTTAAAACTCTTATGTCAGTTATACTCTTTTTCGTATTGAATTTTCGAAAACTCTTTTACTTTGCTGCCACGAATTCTCTAACCTATTATTGTATTCATATTTTTTAATTATGTTATGATATGGTAGTCCACTATATAACCGGCTATGGTGAATTAGGAAGAGGATGATGGCAAAAGCTTAATAATAGATGCTTAATAATAGATTGTGGGATTATTGCTACCTACTCATTAATTTAATGACAAAGTGATTAGGTATGTGTTTTGATTTACATTGACTTTTTTTTTCTCAGTTCTTTATTTGAATAAAATTTTGGAAGTGATGCAACATCAAAGGGCAAGCATGGCCACAAATTGTTGATGCTTAAAGGCCAGCTTGAGAATTTTTTTTTTTTTACATAATGTAATGATTAATTTTATATTGTAAAGCTAGCTTCAAAGCCTATATGATAGGTTGACTTTAGCATTGTCTTGTGTAAGGTAAGCATGACCTTTTTTTTTTGTATTTTAATTACTTGATTGAGACATTTTGTTTAAGAATTGAAGTAATTAGTAGAGTGAAAATTTTAAAAGAAGTTATAGGAATTATTTTGTACTAGAAACTATATTGATAGAGATATAATTTGATCATTTTAGCTAAATATCGCACCTCATGTTCAATAACGAAGTAATGAGAGAACATATGAGTTTTTATGAGAAAATTTGAAATAGAAAGAAACTTATGCATTTCTTTTTGGTAAAATAGCTTTAGTTAGCATTATGTATGAGTTGTAAAGGATTGTGCTATTTGACAAGAAATCATCAATGTAAAGTATATAGAAGTTGGTAATTGCAAGTAGATTATTGATGCAAGATAGGAAAATCGGTGAGATAAAGATAGGCTATATATTGCATTAATCCTCATAATAGAGGTGAAGGTGGCATGCCCTTGTGAGGTCAAATGAGGTGGTAAAGGAAGATCATGAAGGCTATTGATGATAGTCGAATTAGTCCTTCCATGGAGATAGACATTACATGACATGAAGGCGGTGATGAGGTAATGTAAGATGACCATAGTTATCATTAAAGATAGATGTATTGGTGCTCCCTTAGAGATAGTAGAGACAATACCTGAAGGGATCAACAAAGTAGTTGAAAAGGTTATAAAGTTCACCAAAGATGGCTAGATAAGCCCTCCCTTTGAGATTTATGCATCACAACATGTAGGGTACAAACAAGGTGATATAAGAAGGTCATATAGGCGAATGAGAACAATTAAGATGATCTTTTTTATTGGAAGCGAAAATAGTAAGACATGGAGGCGAAGGGTGAAACATAACTAACTAAAAGGACATGAAGGTCACTAAAGTTGATTTGATAAGACCTTCCTAAGAGGTAGAATGACATAACCTAAAGGAAGTGATTCTATGTAAGAAGGTCATAGAAGCTACTAAAGAAAATTGAATCAAACATCTCTTAAAGTTAAAAATTACATGACTTTAAGGTAGTGATAAAAGTGGCATATGAATGTTATGGAGAAGGTACCCTAAGGCAATATGTAAGGCAGTGCAAGAATAATAGATGTGATTATAGTCAATCAAAATAATCCCTCTTTCTTGAAACTGAGATGACATGAGCTAAAGCTAAATATGAGACAACATAGGAAGGTTTAAGATAGCTAGTTGGTCCTCTAAGGGGTGAAGCAGACAAAAGGAATTGTTTCTTCTGATCGTGATGGAAGGGGAGTAAAAAAATTTTGTCCTTAAAAAGGAGGGGTGATTGAATAGTTATACTTTCAAGAGAGGGAGTTGAACAAAAAAGCAATAGTGTTATCCCTCCCAAAATGAGAGTACGGCTAAATAGTCTAAAATTAGCAGAGGACGTACAGAGGGCACTAAGGATAGTCCCTGTATTAAGAGATAATTATGAGGGAGTTGATTAAATGGTAAGATGATGTCTAATTATATCTTGTTCTACTACTATATTTTTTTGAATCATTAAAGATATAAGTAAATGCTATCATTTTTTCTTTAAACTTTGAAGGAATGATTAGTCAAAATTTAAGTAAATATTTGTAAAGTTGTGTAGCTTTATAATATTAAAACAATTTTCAATGATGATGTTTTTTTGATAAGTTTACTTAAGAGTGTTATTTCTAATTCATCGTATAAATAATCAATTTCTAAAAAGAGGTGTTCAATAGATATTATTATTTTTAACAACTTTTCATTCCTTGCTCATCATATTAAAGTATTCTTCTAATTGAGAATAATAATTAGAAGTGAATCAAATAAGAAAAAGAAATAATTGTAAAATTGTGACAGCTCTAGACATAATTTTTCTCAAATTATTGTTATTTTAATTCAAAGTGCTGTATTATTACAAATATTTTGACACGTTATTAATGGAATCCTAAATATTTTTCTTTAAAAAATTATGATTATTAATATATTTGACATTATTATCTTAAGGTAATCCATCTTAATTAAAATTCATTTTGGAAGGAGACAAAGAGACATTCTCTTTAATCTCTATATTAAAAAAGATTGAAAAAGTATCTTCAAATTTTCTTCATTTGAAGAATTGTAATATCATTGTCGAAAGTTTATCTATATATATATATATATATATAATTTTTTATTTAAGATTCATATAATTTATATCATTAATATATCATAAAAAAATTATCTTGATCGGGCACGAATCTCAAAGAAAATTAAGTTGAAAACTTCAAAAATTAAATCCAAGATCATCTGAACTCTAATTTCAATAAACTTACAGTCGTACTGAACGTCTCAAAAATAAGAACCCAACAACACCAAATTCGTGCTCAAATATGTGCAAATCAAAGACTCAAAGCCTATTTAGAGGGTTCAAAACATAATTTGTATTACCAAACGTGACATGCTTATAGTTGAATCAAGCAGCTCTACGAGACAAATCCAACAAGCCCAATATTGACGAATTCTGATATCATCAAGACATTCAAAATGCCCAATAAACGGTCAACGATCAAGGGATTCACTATTGGTCATACATTCAAACCACTCTCAATTTATCCTTGATCTTCCTCCTATTTACTATCATGCCACTCTTAAAAAAATTATAAAAACACATCTCATTTCACATGGAAGGGCACCTAAGCAAGAAGAAAAGAAAGAAAAAGAAGAGAGTTATTTTGCCATCAGATTCATTCTCGACCATCGTCAGACTTCATCACGGCCACTAACTGTTGCCGGACTTCCACCCGGCACCCAATAAATGCCAGACTTTTGCTCGACGGCCGACTAGTGCCTGATTTCTTCCTGAATGCAGACTGACTTCGGACTTTGGCCTGACAGTTGATCGACGCCGAACTTCTGCCCGAATGAAGCCAGACTTCCACTAGATTGTCAATTGAACCCGTATTTCCTCTTGCTCACTAAAACATTGCCGGATTTCTGATCTCAGCTCATAACTAGATTTCAACCCGACGGTTGATTATTGTAATTTGATCATCCTCAATTTCAGGAATGAGACCACCACTCGTAATATAATCAAACACTAGTAGAATGATTTCAACTGGGCATGACCCCGTGATTTTTCCCTTTTTTAGGGGTTTCCACATAAAATTTATGGTGTTTTGTTTTTCTTCTGTTTGTGTACTGGACATCCGTACAACACTGAGAAGAAAATTTCTAATTTCATCGCCGCGTATATTCTAGCCTACAACATTTATGATATTTTTACTTGATTTTTTTATAAAATCATGAAGGTTCAACATCTACTCAGGCTTCGTTTGTGACGGCTTTTTTAATGCTTCTTAAAGTTATTTTCTAGTACAAAAATTTTAATTTTTATACTAAAAACTGCTTTAAGAAGCAATAAGAAAATCGTCTCAAATGAAGCCTTAATATTCGTCTATCTTATAAGATAAAATGAAGTCAAAATAAAATTAAAATATAAGAATATGAACTTTTTAAGTTTAATTGTTTTTTTTTATTATTATAATGCTTTTGATTTCAAAACTTATGCATGCACGTTTGGCCTTTCCAGGTACTTAGCTCCAGGGAGAGTATGCGTCAACTGGCAAGCTAACTGTTTGGGCCGACTGCTTCGCACGCTTCTGGCCGGCCGGGGCCGGCCCTAATTCGCTACTTAATTTGCGACAAGTCGGCTCGGTTTGGTCTTCCATTTCTTTTCTTCGAGAGGCCGACTCTTGCTGTGCCCTAGAGCATTCGGTTTTGTCCGTCGGCTGGAGAGCTGTGATCAAGCGTAGATCTATCGGCTGACAAAAGCTGCTGCGGGGATCGCAGCGATTTTCTTGGCCGCAGTAGAAGATACTCTTCAAGGCTCGTCGGCGACGAGCTCCACAATTGGATTATCGTCAGTCATCTTTCGGTTTGTATCTAACCGTTCTATATGTTTCCCACTGTTTAGGACTGAATTTATGGTTTCTAGCCACAGTTTTTGAGCTGCAGTTATTTTCAGTTGGAATCCAAAGCTTCCTTTTAACATTTTCTTAGTGTTTTTATGCGTGGAACAAATTGCTCTGTTTTAATTGACCTTGAAGTGATGGCTTAAATCTTAAAACAAATCATTAAAAAAATTTATTGCAAATGAGAAGGTGATAGAAAGTGGACTGCTAACTTTCATGAGGGTATTTATATACTTTTATGAAGGGAATTTTATTTCTTTCAAAAATCATATAGTGAATATATTGAAGAAACTAACAGAATACAAGAACAGAGCACAAGTGGAAAAGAAGAGAAATGACAGGAATGGTTTGTATTGTCTTATCCTAGCAGTACATCTATTTGGTCTATTTAAAGACTTGGCCCACGGCCACATACAGGCAAAGCTACAGGAAAAGTAAATACAATATATATGTTATTTAATTACATCTTTGTGCTCTAACAGCCCCCTGCAAACTGAAGGGTCTTGGGTGACACTTAGTTTGAGGCGAAGTTGTTGAAAACGCTGTGTTGAGAGTGGTTTAGTAAGAATATCTGCGGTTTGATCATATGTACTGATTGGTAGAAGTTGAATGTGTTGTTGCTGGATGTGGTCACGTACGAATCGTTGATCAATTTCTATATGTTTTGTACGTGCGTGGAACACCGGGTTGTTTGCCAAAGCTATCGCTGAGGTATTGTCACAAAAAATTTCGGTTGGCTGATCCTGCTGGATGCCGAAATCTGAGAGAACCCGCTGAAGCCAAATGACGTCTGCCACTAATGCCGCTAATGCTCTATACTCTGATTCGGTAGACGAGCGTGCAACAGTGACTTTCTTCTTGACTGTCCATGATATGAGCGAGTCACCTAGGAACGAGCAATAACCAGATATGGATTTCCTTGAGGTAGGATCGCTTGCCCAATCAGCATCTGAAAAAGATTTTAAGCGCAAATTAGATTTTGTAATGGGTATTCCGTAGTCTAGCGTACCTTTTATGTATCTGAGTAGTCTTTTTAGGAGATACGCATGTTGAGACTCTGGTTGATGCATGTGTTGAGAGAGCGTGTTGACACTGTAAGAGATATCCGGCCGTGTTAAAGTCAGATACTGAAGACAACCCACAATTTTTCTGTATGTCTCCGGAGCAGCTAGTATGGGATCTTCTGGAATAGTTTTCGGAAGTTTGGTACAGGTAGGATTAGAGAGAGCATTGCATTGCAAGAGCCCAGCCATGTTGAGTATAGATTTCGCATATGGTTGCTGTGACAAAAAATAGCATTGGTTGTTGCTTGAAATTTGTATGCCCAGGAAGGAGTGAGCAACACCCAGGTGTTTCATGTCAAAATTGTTGTTGAGGTTTGTAAGAATTTCACGGATAGCCTCATTGTTGTTTCCCGTGATGAGGATGTCGTCCACATAGATGAGTAGGAAAATTCTAGTATTTTGTTTGGTATAGGAGAGAAGCGATGGATCTGAAGCGCTATGGTTGAAACCAATGGATACCAAATGTGAAGTGAACGTATTGTACCACTGTCGCGGGGCCTGTTTTAGACCGTAAATCGCTTTGTGTAGTAGGCATACATGTTCCGGATGCGTGGAGTCTTCAAATCCCTTTGGTTGAGCCATGTACACCGTTTCTGAGAGCTTGCCGTGTAAGAACGCATTTGCCACGTCTAGCTGTTGAACCTGCCAATTGTGGTGTAGAGCTACAGCCAAGAGTATGCGTATCGTCGGTAATTTTGCTACCGGACTGAAAGTCTCGGTGTAGTCGAGTCCATACTCTTGATGATTGCCTTGTGCCACTAGTCTTGCCTTGTGCTTAGCTATGGAACCATCCGCGTGAAACTTTGTGCGGTATGTCCATTTGCAGCCGATGATAGAGCAGTTTGACGGAGGGGAAACTAGGCTCTATGTGCCTTGTTTCTGTAATGCAAAGAACTCCGAAGCCATTGCCATGCGCCATACTGAGTGTTTGTTGGCTTCTTTGAACGTCGTTGGATCTGAAGTCTGTTATGCAGAAGAGGTATTATGAATGAGATTTAAGCGCACACATGGTTTTAAGTTACCTGTCTTCTTTCGCGTAAGCATGGGATGAACCGAAACATTAGGCGTTGAATTGATGATGGGTGTATCTGTCTGATTGACGAAGTCCTGAGAGGACAGATTTGTGGTTGTAGAAGCAGAGACCGTGGAAACAGGTTTGGCGGCTGGCAAATTGTGGTTATGTTTGGTAGGCATGGTAGAAGTGATAGTTGTAGTGGGCATGAGAAGAAAGGTTGGTAGGTGTGCAGGTTCAGATTGAGGAGTAATGTTTGTGGATTGAAACGGATAGGAAGATTCATTAAACTTCACATGTCTTGATATAATGATTTTGTTGGTAGATCTGTGAAGGCACTTGTACCCCTTGTGCTTGTCGGAGTAGCCAAGAAAGATGCACGAGTTAGCCGTCGGTTGTAGTTTATGTCGTAGAGACGCAGGAATTAACGGAAAACACTCGCAGCCAAAGGTACGAAGATGGTCGTACTCAGGTTTAAGATTATGAAGAAGCTCAAACGGAGATTTATGCAATGTGTTGGAGGAGGGTAGGCGATTAATGAGGTAAACCGAAGTAAGTACAACATCTGACCAAAAATTATAGGGAACCGAGGCTTGATGAAGAAGGGTACGCGTGGTCTCGATAATATAGCGGTGTTTTCTTTCCGCGACACCGTTTTGCTCAAGAGTATACGGGCACGAGACTTGGTGAGATATTCCGTTTTGTTGAAGAAACTGAGAGAAAGAGTTATTGAGGTATTCGCCACCTCCATCTGTACGAAGACATTTAATTTTGTGTGATGTATAATTTTCAATGTTATTTTTGAAATTAATAAAAATTTTGAGAACTTCCGATTTGTGATACATCGGAAAGAGCCAGGTAAAGCGCGAATGATCATCTACAAAAATAACATAATAGATGTAACCGGTGTTAGAAGCAACGGGTGCAGGACCCCACACATCAGAATGCAGTAATTCAAGAATTTTATGTTTCCTGTTAGTGGAATGTTCAAAAGAAAGCTTATGACTTTTAGAACTATTACAAGAAGAACAAGAAACATTAACAGCACCCATCTTGAGATGGGGGGTAGAAGAAGCAATGTGTGCCATCGTCGTTTTGTTGGGATGTCCCAATCTGGCATGCCATGGTGTAGTGCTGCAATTATTAGCAAAAAACGCTGGTTTATTAGAAACTTCTGCAGCTGGCCGAAGAGGATATAATCCTTCACGACACGGTCCTTTGAGAATAATCTGGTTGTTCGTCAGATCCTTAAACATAAAACCATCGGCATCAAAAATTATAGCAATATTGTTTTCCTTCGTGAGTTTAGAAATAGACAGAAGATTGTATTGTAGAGAAGGAGAATGTAAAATATGAGAGAGTTTGATCTTACGAGAGGGAGTCGGTAGCAACCCCTTGCCTGAATTTGCGATGCTAAAGTCCGAGCCATTGTAAGGAGACGAGATGGATAGATTCTCCAAGGATTTCGTCATGTGGGAAGAAGCCCCGGAGTCCAGATACCATTCATTGTAGTCGGGCTGAGAACTAGCAAGAAGAGCTTTATTGGGCATTCTTGGCGGTCTTGGTACATACTGAGTGTTCAACCTGTGACAGCAGTCATTGGCACCATGACCTCGCTTGAGACATATCTGGCAGAAGATGGAGACATTGGTTGGTTCCCGTTGAGATTGTGCTGACGAAGATGAGCGCCCCCTTGGTTTGCGGCCACGACCTCTGGTGGAGTAAAGAGCCGTCTGAGCATGTTCGGACATGAGACCTTTAGCAGCGTTAGTGGAAACATGGATCTCTTCACTAATCAGTAAGGCATAGAGTTGATCAAGATTTAGAGGAGTAGTCATGGTCCGGATGGAGGTCTTGAAGGATTGATATGAGCTGGGAAGACCATTAAGGATATAGAGGATAATATCCTCTGTATCAAGTTTCGATCCAGTAGTGGCGATTTGATCAACAAGATTCTTCACGTCGGTGAGATATTGCGACATAGAGGAATTCTTGAGGGAAATGTTGTGAAGCTCATTTTTCAATTGAATGGCCTTGGATCGACTCGTGGATTGAAACCGAGTCTCAAGGGTGGTCCAGATATGCGAAGTAGATTCAAGATTGAGAATATACGGAAGAATGGAGGAAGATATTGTAGAGCAAATTGCAGCCGAGAGGTTCTGATTGGTAAGAAGCCATTGCAGATGGCGAGGATTGGGAGCAGTGGATCCGTCTGGTTTGGAAAGATATTTGTTCGGAATAAGAGATTGAGGATCAAGAAAGGATTCAAACCCATTGGCACGGCAGATCTTGACGATTTGAGAGCGCCAAAGAGGGTAGTTGTCCGCCGAGAGAGGGCTCTGCACGAAGTTTTTGAGATTGGAAAGAACGAATTTGAGCGAGGAAGAAATGACGGGAGTCTCCGAGGAAGCCGTCTCTGTTGTATCGAGGAGGGACGAAGTGTTGGAGGAAGCCATGGAATCCCGGGATTCAAGCCCTGTCTGATACCATGAAGAAACTAACAGAATACAAGAACAGAGGACAAGTGGAAAAGAAGAGAAATGACAGGAATGGTTTGTATTGTCTTATCCTAGCAGTACATCTATTTGGTCTATTTAAAGACTTGGCCCACGGCCACATACAGGCAAAGCTACAGGAAAAGTAAATACAATATATATGTTATTTAATTACATCTTTGTGCTCTAACATATATGAGTCATGCACACTCGAGATCCATTGTGTATATCCTTTGTTTTAGGACAGTTTGGCCCTCCAATTAATTATTAATTAGAGTGTGGAGAATTGAATCACATTAGCTTTAAAATATGTTTTGGAACATTAGATTCAAATATTAGTGTTGATGGAAAATTGAATTGAATAATTTGTTCTAAAGTGATTTATGTTGATGGTGTTAAGATTAGTGCCAATGATAAGTTGAATTGAATGGCCGAATTTATATAAAAACCTTGAGATTAGTTTTGATGAATTGTGTTTCATCAATGTTTATTGTTGATATGACATGAATCTTTGGGTCTATTTGATAATGCTTTTTGATTGTTTTGCAAATGGAAGGATGCTACAAAGTAGGCGGCAATAGATTTGCTTCTCAATCTACTTTATAAAAAAGAGCCAGGCCAAATGGACCTTTAATGTAACTAAGAAGTGTTAGAGCTAGTCCCATAGGGACCGATTCACACGGATAGAACTAGAGAAATCCAGCCCCTCCCATATGCTGTCTACACCGCAGAAGTCGGTAGAACTTTTTGGGAAAGAATTTTGAGGGATTTGGGAGGAAAATTTGAATGTAGGGACTTCTTAGAGATTTTCTTTTGAATTGTATGCACTAAATACCTTGTTTTCCTAGGGTTATGGCATCTTGAATTTGGCTGAAATTTGATCTCTCTTATATTTAGGTTTTCATTTGGGCTCTAGTGGCGTCTAGAGATTTGGGAGAGATAGATCCTCCTCTCGAACAGAGGATCAATTGTATCTTGGTATTTTCTATTTCTATTTCATCAAATAATACAAATTTTCTACAGTTTTCTCGGTTTGTGTGGATTCTTGTGGAGGATTTTCGCTGTTTTCTAAAGATTGTTATGAATTACTTGAGATCTTCAAGTGTTCCTATCAGATTTTGGTCCTTTTTGAACCTTGTCTCCTTGAGATCACCTGGAAACGAATGATGATTTCGTTGGTCAAACAATTAGAAATAATCATAAGCAATTTGTAGGGCCATGTCTTTCCTTTACTCATCTCATTCTTCCTCTCTTCCCCCGTCACACACCTTGCAATAGGCTTGCTCAGATTGATTACCTGGTAGTAGTTCTGAAGCAAGTTCACCATTCATCAACAATCATTTCCAATATGAGATACTACTGAAAGAATCTGGCGGTATCATATGCACTGCTGCAAGATCCAGTGGTATATTTTTAATCTTCCTCTCCCTGCTATTACTTGGGAAGCCTTTTAGAGGAAGGAGATGGATAAGGTAGTAATTATGCAAAGTGAAAACATATTTTTAATATTTATTATCTATTGGTACCAAAAAAAGAAATTATTGGTTTAACTAAATTTAAAAAATTTGTCCTTATTAAATGAGGAAGTATACGGGGCTTGTTTAAGTTTTTCCTTTCTATAGTTAATTCTTGTTTCCTGAATGATTAGCCATAAGAAAATTACAATATTTGGCTTTTTGTGGATGTGAGGGCATTATATGTTAATTACTAAGAACAATATACAATATATTAAGGAATTATTATATTAGATGAATGATTGGTTCGACATCTTTTGAAGATAGTGTAGTTGAAAATAGACCTAGGAGAGGAAATCTACAATGAAGGACAAAACAATGCCCCCATTAGCTGAGTAAATAAAAATATTTTTAAAGAACTAAAATAAAGAAATTTGACCTGAGGTTACATGGATAGAAATTATTTAAAATAAATTTTGAGGAGGTGGCTTAACCTCTCAAGCAACACTTAGTAAGAACAATTGAAAATAAGGATTCATAAATTCAACCTTAAATTATTGGGATCAGGTTAATGATGATGATTATATGTTAATTAGCATGTTCTAATGATGCACTTATGATCTCTACCCCAAATAACGATTGGTTTACTTCGTATTCATAGTCATTGTTAAACTGTGATCATTTTTACAGTATTCATTTCTCGAGTAAAAAAATGGATGCGTCGTTCTTTTAATTTACATCCACTAAATAATTTTTTTACAAATTAAAGGTTCTTATGCTTTGTACAATACAAATGTATAAAAGACACTGTTTAAATTCAACCGTTGTCTTCTCTTAATAGCCAGAAAAATAATAACTGAGCAATTCAAAAGTAAGTTATGATAAATATGAAAATACTTAATTAAGTTGCAGATTGGCCATTTTAATGTACATTGCTATTCAAAATCTTCTGGCGATTGATTGATTCAAATTATGTTTTTAATCTGTCAAACAGTGCATGTAATTTCAGATGAAATCAGACATGGTCAAGTTATTGTGCTGCTTTGATGGAAAGTTGGTTGTTGACGGAGATGATATGGTGCCTAAGTATGTTAATGGGACACAGAGACCCATCAAGGTTGAAAGATCGAGCACATTGGAAAGTCTGAGGAGAAAAGTCTATGAAGCCACGGGAATAGATCCTCTTCTGCATTCACTATTATTGACTTGCAAGTATCCTATTCACGGGGGTGTCTATCGAGCTGTGACTTTGAGCAATGATGAGATAGTTGACTGCATGATTGATGAATCCTCTATGGGAGGGGCCATTGAGCTTTATGTAGAGAAGGAGATTATTCTTAGACAAACTAGCAATCACATTAATACAGGCACATGCACTGCAATGATAGAGGAAAGTGCAGAACCCACTGGCAGAATGCTGATTGACAAGCCAGTTGAATGCCATGTAAACCAAGCACAAGGGTGACTCCTCTATATGTGATCTTATGATTCACTGAGTCTTCTAATTTTGGATTATATATATCACACTTAGGTATCTATAATTATTTGCTCAAATCCAAAGTACTGAATCATTTATATGATAATGCAAATTCTTAGTTGTGGCTTGGGAGTATTGGGCTTCTCGTTTGCCCAGGAAGCAACTTGCCCTAACAGTATTTCTTATGCTGCAGATACAACAATAACAACAACATCAAGCCTTTATCGCACGACGTGGGGTTGACTACATGAATCCTTTTTCTCTATTTTTCTGGTTAAGAGTCAAATTCTCATTTAGATCTAATAAAGAAATGTCATTTCCAATATTTTCTAACCAAATTTTTTTATGTCTACATCTATCTTTCTTAACATAGGTTAAATCTAGTCTATCTATTCTCCTAACCGGGTCATCGGAAGGTTGCCGTTTTATGTGACCAAACCATCTAAGGCGGCTCTCTCTAATCTTATATGCCACTAGAGCTACTCCAACCTTTTCATGTATATGCTCATTTCATATCCTTTTTCTAAGATTACAACCACTCATCTACATTAGCATCCTCATCTCTGCAACACTTAACTTAATATTATGCTTCTCTTTTAATGGCTAACATTCTGCGCCATAAAGGCATAAAGCATTGTAGGTCTAACCACCATCTTATAGAATTTTCTCTAAAGTTTGAGTGGTACTTTTCTACAAACAACAAGCCCAATGCATTCCTTTACTTCATCCATCCAGCTTGAATTCTACTAATAATATCTCCATCTATTTCACCATCACTCTGAACAATAGACTCAAGATATCAAAATCATGTAATCTTATTAATGACTTGATCGCTCAAAGTCACAAACCCCCCACTAGATCTATTACTACTAAAATTACACTCCATGTATTTGGTTTTAGATCTACTCAAATGAAAACCTTTAGACTCTAAGGTTGACCTCCATAATTCAAGTTTACCTTCAACTCCCTCTTTAGTCTTATCGACAAGAAGAATATGGTCAGCAAAAATCATACATAATGGAACATCCTCTTGCAAATCTATATTATGAACATCCATGACTAAAGCAAAAAAGATATGGGCTTAAGGCTGACCCTTGATGTAATCCAACTGAAATTGGAAAATATTTGGTCAAGCCACCTTGTGTTTGAACACAAGTAACAACTCTAGCATACATATCCATAATGACTTAGAATATAAGCATTATTAATATGTTTCTTTTTTAGAACTCTCCATAGCACTTCTCTTGGAACTTAATCATATGTTTTCTCTAAATCAATAAATATCATATGAAGATTTTCCTTTTTCTCTCTAAACTTCTCCATCAAACCTCTCAATTCATGTATGACTTCCGTAGTAAACCTACCTGGAATGAATCCAAATTGATTTTGAGAAACATTAGAATCATGTTGTAACCTTTGCTCCATAACTCTCTCCCATAGATTTAAAGTATGACACATCAATTTAATTCTTTTATAATTTGCACAATCTTGCTCATCACCTTTATTTTTAAAGATAGGAATCAACATACTCATTCTCCACACATTTTGCATCTTGTTAGTTTCAAAATAATATTAAAAAGTTTAGTAAGCCAAGAAATTCCTTCATCTCCTAAGCATTTCCACGCCTTTATTGGAATATCATCAGGTCTAACAGTTTTCATAAACTTCATTTTCTTTAAAGCCTCTCTAACTTCAGTTTTAGTAATATACAACAACAACAACATCAAGCCTTTATCCCACTACGTGGGGTCGGCTACATGAATCCTTTTTCTCCATTGTGTCATATTAGGGTTTTAGTAATATGACAATAAAAATAAAAATATCTATTTTCATTTAATTTGTTAAGGTCACTAAAGTCAATCGTATTTTCACAATCTTCGTTGAAAAACCTATCAAAATATCTCATCCACATTTATTGAATATACTCTTCTAAAAAAAAAGTAATTTTTGATCTTCATCCTGAATGTACTTCACTTGAACTAAATTTTTACTACTACTATCTTTTTATTTGGCTAGCTTATACATATACAGATCAAACTGAAAAATCCTTGAGCCGGTATTGGATTTGTATGTTAGTATGCATTATATACTCGCATCGCTCGTTGGCTACTTTGTGTTAAATTAATGAAATTAATAAAATTTGCTTACAGAGAGGAGTCGATTAAGGGGAATGAGTCTTGTACCCCTGAGGCCACTACTGGGAAGTTAGGAGATGCTATTACTCATGTGTTCCATAAAGGGCACTCTCTACTGGGCCAACAGTTCAAATCTAGCAACCCTCCCAACGAAGTGAGTAAACGAGGTTGTGTGGTATCTTTTATCCATCATTATATATGTTGCATTTTCTTGATAGCATTGAAATTAACATAATCCCTTAACTTCTTGAAGAACGGTTTGCCAAGGCAGTGCTATCATATGATGTCCATGCGTGACTGGCCTCTGACCCATCCTATAATGATTGACCAGCTTAACCAAGCTGGATTCCTTGTTGCCAACTCCTTACAGTGGGTGCATCTTGATATGCATCTTCTTTGTGCATTGTGTGAGAGATGGCATGCAGAGACCAACACCTTCCACTTACGAAATGTGGAGATCACCATCACATTGCAAGATGTCTCGGTGTTAACTGGCTTGGTCGTTGACGGGTTACCTGTGATAACAACTCGTGTCGTTGGCGGTGTCGAATCTCGATGGGCTACCTGGACCGACTGCTGCCAAGAGCTTCTTGGGAGGTCTCCTGGAGAAATGACAGACAGGACAACAAAGTTGAAGCTCTCCTGGCTAAGAGAAAATTTCAAGGATGTATGTGAAAATGCCTCTTCACAAACTGTGGCATTTCACACAAGAGCATACATTATGCACATGCTCGGGAGCTGGGTTCTTCCTAATCGCTCTGGCAATGCAGTTCCTTGCCAGTATCTGCCATTATTAGAAAACTTTGCAAAATGTGGTCAGACGGCTTTTGGCGCTGCAAGCCTAGCCCATTTGTATAGAGAGCTTGGCAATGCATCGAGGGATCACATAAAGAGACTGGCAGGGAATATTCATCTCCTTCAGGTACTGCAGTGTTAAGTCCAGACAAATTTCTAGCAAAATCCATGCATAGTAAATTATATTTTATCATCTTATCTTCTTATGGTACTAGAATTGCAGCTCTGGGCTTGGGAACGTCTCAAGGTAGGGCGCTCTTTCGTGCAAGAGAGACAATATGGTGGTTATCCATACCCTGGACCTTTAGGTATCAGGTTCGTGCTTCTGGATTTTAGTTGGTATAACACCTTTAAATTCCGTTTGTCTGCTTCACCCCTTAGAGGTAGGGGTGTCAATGTTGGACCTGACCCGGATCCAAACCTGACCCGAAAATTTTGGGTTTGGATTGACCCGAAAATTTTGGGTTTGGATTGACCCGAACCCTAAACGGGTCGGGTTCAGGTTCAACAATTCGACCCATTTCAAAAATCGAGCCAGGTTCAGATTGACCCGAAATTGATCCGTTTTAACCCAGGAACCCGAGATTGACCCCTTTTGACCCGTTTTTGACCTAAAAAGTGGATATTGACCCATTTTTGGACCCGAAAACTAACAGTTTTTTGTTGGCACCGGGTCATTCCGGTCGGGTTCGGGTTGACCTGAATAGTGCCGGGTCAGTTTCGTGTTCGACCCAAACCTGACCCGTGACCCGAAATTGACATCCCTAGGTATATTCAAAATTCTTAGTAGATAATAAGTTCCTCGGCAACTAGGTGGCAAGGAGAACGGCGGCATGGGAGACCTATTGGCCACTTGATGTCTTACAGAAGAGAGCTAGATCTTGCCGACGATCGATGGGTGAACCAACTTTATTTTGAAGAAGATAACTTTTGTTATTTGTTATTATTATTACCCTTCTCATTTTGATTGTAGCCTTCTCGTAGGTTATCTGGGAGCCTTATCCTAAAAGCCTCCTTGATGAACTACCTGCGATCTGCACTTCTGGAAAGGGGGTATGGCAATCTAGAGTTCCACTGATCCACTTTGCCATTGTGGAAATGCATGTCCCTGATCGAGTGATGAGGCAATTTGGAATGCAGCAACATCCAACAGTAGATGTCGAGTCGGTTGAACGGATCGATGCTCGAGGAAAGCCCGGTATCAACTGGTTAGACCATCACCACGCCCATATAGCAAAATGGGGCCAAAGGCTCCAACTAGCGGTGAATGAGCAGCATAAGCCAGAACTGTCATTCCAGGAGGAACATGATAGACGAACTGAAGGATTTACATCTCATTCAATGGAAGATCATGAGTCAGTTCCTCACAATACGCAAGGTCATATGGAGCAAGACTTGGTAGGCAATTTTTTTTTTCTTGGCTGCATTGCATACTTTTTGGGTCTCTTCAATCTCCTCGAACTCTTCCACATCATCCAAAGAGAATTCCATTTTCGTATCCTCTTCATCGCTAATTCTTTCTCAGTGCTCTTCTGTGGTGAAATCCTAACGTTTCTAAATCCTGTAGAACGTCTTTAAAATAGTCCGCTAAAAGTCATAAAACCTAAAAAAATGGAGGGATTTTAAATTTTTGCATCCTATCCGGGTCGGGCCGTCGGGCTGCACGGAATTCGTCAAAACAACTGCTAAATTTCGAGATTTCAACGGGTCGGGACATCGGGTCGTCCAATGCTGCAAGGCGCCATTTAACTGGCGACCGGACTCAAATTCCTAATATTAGCCATGTAACTTCTTAAATTGACCGAGATACCTTTTCTACAGATCAATCTTTGCTACAACTTGCGAGGAAGGCTTAATGAGCATCTTCTAGAGTGTGGAAAGCCAAGTTTGGTGTACAAGATGTTGGCAGATATAGATCACACCTTTGGTTTATACGGCCTTCACCAAATGCTACCTACAAGAGAATGTGATGCAAATGGTCCATCTTCTTCTTCTTCACAGCTCTCGCATTCAATTTCATCAAAAACAAACCCAGAGCTTCAATCGTCAAAAAAGAGGCCATTAAGCTCTTCCTCTTCTTCCAAGCCACCATTATTTTCTGCACTTCCTGCTATGTTTTTGCAGAACAGACATGAACAGATGCAGACACAGCAGCCATTTTCACTACTAGGACAATCGTCGAAAGTAGATGCCTCTTCTTCTAGTGATTCTCGTCTTTCTTCGATGAAACAGGAAAAGGGACGGGGACGTAAAAGAGGATCTACACGGCCATTTTAGCTGTAAAGATGCTTTGGTGTTCAGAGGCCGTGCTTGCACTTCATGTTTATTTAGTGTTCTCTTTCTTCCTTCCAGATGAAGGAAAAGCCATGAGAATTTTTTTTTCATGCTCAAAATGGGTGTAGAAAGTTGCATAAATGTATTATTGTAAACAGAATAATTTTTCTCCCAATGGAAAGTAAAAATGCTGGCTTTTATACCTCTGGTTGTTCTGGTTTTATTGATTGCGTTTTTTTTCATGTATTCTGCCTGATAAAAGTTTTCTTTTCTACTCTATTAAATAAGAGAAATTATTCTGTGCAGACCGGACTCAGAATATCGTCCAGAGATCAAACACAATGAGAGGTGACGTGTCGCATCTGATTAATCTCCGGATGACGTTTGACGTTCACACAGAATAATTAATCATTAAATAAATCTTCTTACCTTTGTTATATGAAACAAGATACTCAAATGATTGGGAGAAATTGTCACGTTCTCATATAAATCTAATAAAGAAATATCTTATTTAATATTTTTTAATCAATTTTTTTAGATGAACAACTTTAAATGAAATATTGAAATTATTGGAGGGTAAATCCGTAAATATACTCTTGTTGTCTTATGTTTAAAGCTCTTTATAGTGCTAGTATGGTATAAACAAATATTGGAGTGGAAAAAAATATGTGAGGATAAATTTCAAAATTATTAAAAATTTTTAAGATTAGTATTGTTGCGTCCTGGAATATTCGCGGCGGTAGAGAAATATTTAGTTTAACGTCTTAGCATTGTACGAAGATCCAGCACACAAGCAGATAAGTGAGAGGGTGTAGCATTCATAAGAGACACCAGAGTTTCACATCATAATTTCTTATTTTACTGGAGTTGAGATGACAAAGACAATTTTATATTAATTAATATATAACCTTGAGGTTTCGTTTAAGATAAATTTTTCACTACATTTTAAATCAATGCCTTAGTACAAATATTTTTTGAACTTAAATTTTTTATTAAAAAAGCTATTTTAAAGAGCAGTAAGAATGTTGTTTAAAAATTCTGCTTAATTTTAAGCGATTGGCTATTGGCTTTCATTTGCATAGAAATTATGTCATTTATACCTAAATAAGTGAAATTTATAAAGCAATTATGAAGCAATACTTAGAAAGTTTTTAGATAAATCTACTTTCAGAAAAAAACATGGTTGCATATACTCCATCATATAAAGAAAAGTGAGCTTATGATACCTAAATAACTTATATTTAGAAAGCATATTAGTTTATCTTATTGCTTCTTAAAATAACTTTTTAGTAAAAAAATTTAATTTTTATACTAGAAAGTTATTTTAAGAAGCAGTAAGAAAGCTATCATTGACTTCGTTTGGGAAGACCTTTTTACTACTTCTTAAAGCAACTTTCTAATAAAAAAATTAAAAAATTATACTAAAAAGATGCTTTATGAAACAGTAAGAAAGTAGTCCCAAACAAAACCTTATGTCTCATTTGGTACGGCTTTCTTATTGTTTCTTAAAGCATTTTTTTAAGTACAAAAATTTTAATTTTTATATAAGTTGATAAAATTAATTTATATAAAATTTATTGTGAATATTATAAATATATTGAAAAGAAATCAAATAATATTTTCTTATAGTGAACATATTTTAGTCAATTTAATTGTGAAAATCAACTTCCTATAAAAAAAATTGAAAATCAACATAAAAAAACCAAGAATAAAATAGAAATTAGACGGGTGGCGTTATTAAGATCTGAAAATCAGAACAATGAAAAATTTGCCCCCAAATAAACCCTAAATGAAGCAGCTTAAATATAAATCTCTGTGAGCAGAAGTTTATTCTAGTTATTATGCCGCTAAGTATTCAAACGGTGTCTCAGCAACTAGAAAGCCACGAAATGATTTAAAAATAAAGGTTATACACAAGAGAGAACGAATTACAGAGGAATTTAGTTAATATCTCATATTTTAAAACTTTAGGAGAGAGTTATTAAGCATAGCTTAGGACATAATAATAATGTTTCTCAAAATCAATTTGGATTACTATGGAAGCTTTTCATTTATTGAGAGGTTTGATGACTAAGTATAGAGAATACAGAGGATCTACATATAATATTTATTCATTTAGAGAAAGCTATTATTTGTGTTCGAACACATTGATTTGATCAAATATTTTCGTATTTTAGTTGGATTAAATTAAGTAACAGCTTTAAGCCCATATTTGTTTTTGTTTTTTTCCATGGATGTTCTTACTGAACATTTGTAAAAGGATATACCATGGTTTATCCTTTTTGCTGATGATATTCTTCTTGTTGATAAGACAAGAGAGGAATCTAAAGGTGAACTTGAATTATGGAGGTCAACTTCAGAGTCTAAAAGTTTCATATGAGTAAATCTAAAATCGAATATATGGAGTATAATTTTCATAGTAATAGACCTAGCGGAGGTATTGATAAGAGTACACGTTTAGATATATCAGATATATTGTCTATAGTGATCGTGAAATAAATAGGTATAATATTAGTGGACAAGTTGGATGGTTTAAGTGAAGGAATATATCAGACCTGTTGTGTGATAAAAAGTACTCCTCAAACTTAAAGAAAAATTGTATAAGATGGTAGCAAAACCTGCAATGCTTTAGGACACAAAACATTGGCTATTAAAAGAGAAGCATAAAATTAAGTGTTGCAGAGGTAAGAATGCTCAAGTGGTGAGTGGCTTTACTCTTAGATATAGAATGTGAAATAACCACATATATGAAAATGTTGGAGTAGCTCAAATGACAGATAAAATCGTCTTAAATAATTTGATCATATAAAACATCAAATTTTTGATAACCCGATTAGGAGAGTAGATGCATCAGAATTGGTCATGTTAAGAAAGGCTGAGATGGACCGAAAAAGACTTGGTTAAAAAAACATTAAAAATAACCTTTTTGTTAAATAAAGGTTTGATGTTATTGTAGTATTTTTTAGATATGAATGATTTTTCAAACAAAAATTGTATCATCTATCTATATAGACACCAATGAAATACCCAGAAATCTAACTTCTCATATTTCAGTTTCAACTATTTCCCTTTAGCATATTCAAAATAAGATACTTGCCCCAAAAATACAATGAGCCAAGTAAAATAAAGCATCTCATAAAAATAGAGTAACAGAATGAACCATCTACTTTGTTTTTAATAAAATAACTCATTATTGAGGTATTACAGCCAGAAATTTAGCCAAACAGTAAGCAAAGTCTATTCTCAGTCAGGAAATGTACCTTATTAGCAGTCCCAAAAGCTGCTTTTCTAAAGCCTCTTCTGTTACAACGCAAATTGATGCTTAGTTCTTTTTCGCCATCATCACTAATTAACATCATTCCAACCTCTTACCAAACGCCAAATCTAGTTAAGGCTAGTAACCTCCCTGTATGAAGGCATTCAAGCGATTGAGCTCCTCTCGGTGCTCACTAACGACAGCTCGAACAACATCGCCAATGGAAACCATGCCAATCATTGCCTTGTCGTCGATCACAGGGATGTGCCTGATTCGATTATCTACCAAAAAATAACAGCTGTGATGAGCTGTTTCTGAAAGAATAATAAGTGATTAAGGCTTCGTTTGGAACGAATTTCTTACTGCTTCTTGAAGCGGTTTTCTGATACAAAACTTAAAATTTTTGTATTAGAAAGCCGCTTCAAGAAGCAGTAAGAAAGCCGTCCGTCCCAAACGAAGCCTAAAGCATGAAGATTGATATCACAAACCTGTCATGAGTTGCATGGCCTTTAAGACTTTGGTGTCTGGTTTTACTGTGATCAGCTTATTCTGTGCAAACAAAAACAAGCTACAGATGTGAAGCAGCTTAACATTATAATAGATTAGTCATTTCAGTTAGAGTTATTTTAGGTGAGCAGATTTGGGTCATTGTAGCTCAGTACTCAATTAATCTGGCAAATTTATTTCAATTATACTAGGAGCAAGTGGAAGGCACGTATATTAAGATTTCGTTTGGACTGTGTTTTTACTGTTTCTTAAAGCAACTTTCTAATATAAAAATTAAATTTTTTGTCTAAAAAGTTACTTTAAAAGCAGTAAAAAAGCAATCTCAAACGAAGCATGAGATAAATAATTCAATAAAAATTTATCCTAACAAATCCAAACTCATAGCTTAAGTACCTCTTCAGTCATGATGTCACCGACTTTCGTGCTCTTCGATGATCTTCCTTGAACGATGATTTTTCGAAGATAATCTGAAATAAACCAACCAAATGATAACTATATCGTTGAAAACTTTGCAGTTTTAGGCTTTGTTTGTGGCTGCTTTCTTACTGCTTCTTACAACAGTTTTTTGGTACAAATGTTTTAATTTTTTTACTAGAAAGCTGCTTTAAGAAGCAGTAAGAAAGTTGTCCCAAACTAAGCCTTACTTTAGGATATTTCAGAAAAACTAAAAATAAAAAACTTTTGATGCATCAAGCAGTTTGTCAAATCAAACAACAATTGAGTCTCACAATCGTGAGTCTTAAGAGTTGGAACAAGTCTAAGCTTGATTTATCCGGAAAATGTAATATTTCAAAAAATGACCAAATACAGCTGCTACAAAATTCAACTCCATAAAAAATGGAAACTCTTTGGGACCCTATCGTCTAGGAGGAATTATTGTGATTTCAAGGCCCTGAAGGTTTTTTGTGGCTGTTGTGCATTTATTAAAGCACAAATTACAAGCAATAGAAACTAGGGTAGTAAAGAAGTTTGTTCATGAAAAAGTTGTATAAATGTGTGAACAAACGCATATGGCTTTGAAAAGTTGTCATTTGATATGTTAAAGCAATAACTCTAAGATGTCGATTTAAAATTTTAATTATCAAAAGAAAATTTTACGGAATCTAATAATTAAAAAATTCAAATTTTCTGCATATTTTTCTCTCTCAAAGAATCAGGTATAGTATATCCACTTACAAATAATTTAGCTTCATATCCAAGTTCATTATCCATAAATATTACGCATGATTTGCATAAAACTATTAACAAAAATATTGCTGTTAATTATGATGATTATATATGAATTGGAGATGGTAAATATATCTTCCAAAGTGAAAAAAAAATAGATGAAAAATTAAACAACTCTTTGGAATTGAATTTATGACATATATAAATATGTATGTGTTTGTGGATGTAAAGATTCTTCTTCGTTTATTCCAAAATTTTGATTGTTGATGAACAATCACAGAGAGAAGTTATCTCCTAGTCTAAATACGAGATTTGTTTTTCTAAGTGCGCATTAGATAAGCATTAGAAACCCAGGGCCTAAGAAATCCTACATTACTCTTTGACTCCAAATGGTTGGCTCCGAGGCAGGATTCTGCTAATGCAGCAGGGATTGCCTTGGGGCTCCTCAAAATAACATAAGGCAGGTCCTCATTTAGGGCAATCAGCAATGAAGGCAGTGCCATTCCTTCCCACCAACCTGCCTACTGTAGGGAGTTAGAATCATATCTGATTCAACGTAGGATGATAGTGGCTACTACGGCATAGTACCCGATGTCTACATAAATAAAAGGAACTGATGCAGTCAAGGTAGGTGCTAAATGGAGGGATTTGTGATGAATTGTTGGAATGTGAACCTGCGGTTTTTTAACTTGCGAGCTATCCACTTCTACTTTCCCTCTACTAATTCGTTTTGCACTTCTATCTACTTCTTCTCTTCACGGCTTCCATTCTACTTATATTTTTCTTCTCAAAATTTTTATAAGTCATCTTAATTTAGAGGGGAAAAAGGAGAATTTGACTTTTAATAGGACACAATGGAGAAAAATGATTCATGTAGCCGACCCCACGTAGTGGGATAAAGGCTTGTTGTTGTTGTTGTATCTTAATTTAGAGGGGAAAAAAAGAAAACAGAACCTAAAAGCGTCTTACATGGAAAAATGTCATAAATAACATCACAAGCATAAAGTTTTCTTCATAAAATGTTTAGTAATCAACATTAGCAGAAGATTTATGACACCTCTTTCTGTGATGATTCCAGCAATTGCTTTATCTGCTCCAGGCTTTAGCACCACCAGAGCTCCTACATTGTGCTGAGTCATCTGAAATTGAACTTGAACTTGAGTTTAGTATGAAAACAGGTGGGAAAAATAAGGGGACAAGAGCTAGCCGTCTCCCTATAAGGGCATCTCCAATGGAACGACAAACAATCGTTTGCCGTTCTTCCGTCGCTCTAACCGAGCGGCAATTTTGATGCTATTTCATCGCATGTGAACAGTGCGACGCTAAGCATTGTTCACCCGTCATTTTTTTTAATTCAAAAATTATATAAAATGAAGTATGGGAAAGAATATACTAGGAATATTCTTTTTTTGTGTTAGAAAATGAAGTTCGATTGAAGACAAATTATTGCATTTTGATGTATTACTGGATTTTGGAGTGAAAAAATGAGTTTTTGGTTGGAGATGCCCTAAGAAAAGGAAGTAATAATTTAAAGAGAATTCTTCAGCAATTAAGGCATTCAAAGAGCTCTTTACAGAATTGTAGAATATAGAAATATGCACTCACAGATTTCACAGCATCATATACAGTATCATCCGTAGAACACCATAGCCAGGAGCCATCAGCACCTTTACCTTTAGCATTCAATACATCTGCAATTGTTGTGCTCTCAAATCCATGTTCTTCCAGTTTTGACGCAGCAATTGACTCAGAACGTGAAAACACAACAGTTCGGGCAGCTGGAGCTATAACACGTGCATGTTTCAAGATAGAGTATTTGAGCACATTTCCATGTAAGCAGATTGCTTGGAATATCCTTTGCATTATCCCTAACTGAGAATAATCCAGATGTCAGCTTTGATTTCGTAATGATTGAACAGAAAAGTTGCCTTCTTAAATTGTTACTGCAAATAGAAAGAAGGGCACTGGAGCGCTGCTTAAAAGGTAAACTTGCGAAGAGAAAGTTATTGTTAGGCTTATAGAACAGAGAAAATACAGTGCAGCAAATGTTACTAAATTAGAAACTTCAAAATGTTCATCATTAATTAACTTGTATGGTTTAACTTAGGCTTCATTTGGGACGACTTTCGTCCCAAACGAAACCTTAATTTTATGAACCTGGAATCAATATTTTGAATTCTTCTCTCTATCTATGTCCAGATGTCCTCGTGAATTCAGATCCAGTATAATTTTAAATAATTTTACATAACTTGTTGCAAAATAAATCTTAAATAATGAGATTATCCACAACTGTGATGGATCGAAGCATATCTTAAGCAGTAGCAGGCTTAGCTACATGTGATGATTTATGAATTACTCTGCATGAGATATAATAATTAAACCGTGATCCACTAGGCGTATATAAATTAAATAATTCATCAGAGCCAAATATTTATCAAACAGGACAGATGATGCAGAATGTCTTTATCACGCTAATGATTATGAGATGTATGCCAAACTTTTTTCACAGGTTAGACGACTTCCCTGATTTTGAGGAAGTTTAATTCCGGCTGCTGTCACATGCTAGATCTGTAGGCTTCTAGTCAGAAGTGATACTTGGGTAATTCCTGTTGCATTTGAATATTGGTAGCTTCCGTGCATATCCTTGTTTTAGTAGCTTTCAACCAGTGCTTAACAGGTTGTTCTCGTTCTTAGAGTTGTCAAGGAATTTTTGTTCAATCTCATTAATTTATTTTTATATCAACTTTGTGTCTAAACATAAATGAAGGTTTAAAATCTTATTCAAACTTATTTTTTAATTTTATTATCAAGTTTGAACCATAATCAAACTTTAATCAATTCTAACTAACTATATTTAGGATGACAATTATCTAAACAAATAATCATATTACTAACAACAGATATATTCTTAATTTTTGTATAAAATAAACAATAATAATTCTGCATTTATTTCTATTATTTTATCAGTGACAATTAAATTTTTAATCAATCCATCTAGCTATTTACTCTCTATGTTAACTACCAAATGTTAATCAAATTTGGGGTCATGTGGTCCATGTAGATTATGGCTATCATGGATTTTGGCCATATCTACCATGTATAAGCAAGATTGAAGAGTGGATGAATAATACATGATTGAATGGACATTTGGTACATGAAGCATGATAATGTTGAAAAGCTTTCATTTGAGAGAAGAATGACAACTAATATAAAGAACTCTAATGTGAGCAAGAGTGATGTAAAACAGATATGGGGGGATTAATTAGGATATTATGAGGGATGGGGATCGGCAGTTACTATGGGTGATTGGAGTTGATTGAGTGCCTTAATGGAGAGGCATTAATTAGAGAGGAGGTGAGAGAAGGGGCCGGCCTTATGGAGAGGGAGGAGAAGTGTCCACATATAACATATGTGGATCAAGCATTAAATGGTATGAGGCGAATTAAATCTGAAATTAATTTCAGATTGAGAGTAATTTGAGGAGGCTCCCTAATGTAGAGTTTATTAAATTGGAAATATTTTGAAATTCAAATTTATTTGAATTCAAAATTGAATGATTTTCCAAATTAACAAAATCTAATTTAGGAAGGTAATCAAGAGGCTATTTTGAATTCAAAATTCAAAATTTGTGGAGGGAAGAGGCTACGGGTGAGGTGGTCGGCCAACTATGGAGATGGAGGGATTGATGTTTGATCCAAAAAAAAAAGTTAACCAAAATCAAACGAAATAAAATAAAAATGGATCGTGAATGATGGAGACTATAGATGAGAGGACGGATAAAAAAAATAAAAATAAAAATAAAAACGATACAAACCACGAGCCTGGACTCTTCCTGCGGCTGGTGGGTACTACGTTGCCCTCCCCGAGGGACTTCAATCCACGAGCCCGGAACCATCCCGCGGCTGGTGGAAACAAGATTGTCCTCCCATAGGACTTTTCCTCTCCAAAACTCACACAGAGATCAAGACAAAGGCTCTAATTTTTTTTTTTAATAATTCATCATGTTCTAATACAAGAGCAAAGACCTCTATATATAGGCCTTAAAAGAAACTAAAAGACAATTTTGCCCCTTGGGCTTACATAAAAAAAAATCCCTTAAGGGTAAAAAAGAAAAATGCATAATTAAATAAAAATTACAATTAATAAAATAAGATAAAATGAAGGGATCTCGGTCGTCGATCTTGGTCCTTCCTTTGATTAATGCTCACCGTCGGATGTCCGCATCAAAGAGATTGCTAAGGCATCTGAAACTCTGAATTTAGTCCCAAATTAGATAGTTGAAAAATGTTGATGAAGGATATTAAACGTTTGACCTTCACTTATAGTTTAAATCTTCGATTAAAATTAAGTTCAACTACAAATGTATATAATCAATCTTTGGTCATCCTTGGATTCTCTCCATATTTGGGTAGCTGATTTAGGAAGGATTATAATAGAGTTATTCTGTATTTATTTGTTTCTTTATTAAGATATCTTGTATAAATCTATAAATAGAGATAGTTTTCTATAATAAAATTAAGTCTTTTTCTTCTCAAACCTCTGTTTTCAACAGATAACACGACATTGAAGAAGAGGGAACAAGTAGGTGACAGTCCTCAAGAGGACATGACAATAACACAATACAATTGATATTGATATAGGTTATGGTGATGTTCGGTGTAGCGATCAGTGAGTACTTCATTAAGCATATTTTTTCAGGTGTCATAATAAATCTTTTTTTGTTTATTTTAAACCATTCAGTGAGCACATGTATATAAGAAAAAATAGTGTGTAGGCCTGTAGTTCAATATGAAGTTTATATTAGGATTCATGATGGTTTGACTAGAATTCTAGTTGGTGTAAAATTATGCACATTATCCAAGGTGAACTTTATATCTTTATGCCTTCTGATTGATGCAGGGTATATAATTGTTTGAGGATGTTAGGGTTTTCAAGGTTTGCAGGGGTTCTTTAGCTGTCATGAGAGCTCAAAGAGGCAAAGGATTGTATGTATTGGAATGTGCAACCTCAAGGGTAACTTCAATTTGGTATTCTATATCTGAGTTGAATCATCACATTTTGAAGTAAATGCACTAACTTCTAAGCTACATGACAAGTTTAGGAACAAATTCAAACACTACATGATGGAAAAGCTTTACGTGATAAATATATTAGATTTTCGTTGCACAATCTGTACCGTTATCAATTCATATCATTATGGACTTTACGAAAAAAGAGATAATAACCTATGGAGCAAGAAAATTTTGTGGTATATGCATGTTCAGGTTCAGTTTATAAATTTAGCATGCAATATTTGTGTTATAAAGATCTCTTGTAAATATTCAAAGCAGCGCTAAGTCTTTCGGGACTTTAGAAGCTTGCAGTGATTAGCTTAGAGAGAAACCACATGAGAGATTTATTTTTTACCATAATATTCAATCAATGAGGAGAATTGTTGATCACTTAAATAACCCAATAAACATACATGCTTTTGTAGGAAACAAAATAATCGAGCACCTTGGATCGAGTGTGGGATATGTACGACCTTCATGATTTCCATGCCATCATATGAATCATGCCTCCTAAGACCAAGTGCAATACATCATGAGAATCTTGATTTTGAGATTTAGGTCAGTTTGCTTTCTGTAGAATCTAGAATGAGGAAGAAGCCCTTCCTTCATGAGCTTCTTGGGAGAGGAGGGAGAGAGAGAGAGCAGGAAACGAAATTTGTATTTCTAAATCATACCAATCTATTACAACCTATTGCCTATTTGTAAGCACAAATGCTACACAACAAGCTACAAACCTAAATCTAGAATCAATATCTAACAATTCTCCACCTCGTTCAATTGCCTCTACCATGCTCTGATACCACTTGTAAAATGTAGAATGAGGAAGAAGCCCTTCCTTCATGAGCTTCTTGGGAGAGGAGGAGGGAGAGGGATGGAAGGGAGAGGGAGACGGCAGGAAACGAAGTTTGTATTTCTAAATCATACCAATCTATTACAATAGACAACAAGCTACAAACCTAAATCTATGACTAGGGGTGTTAATTTTTGACACAACCCGAAACACGACCCGAACCCGACCCGGAAAAATCCGGGTTCGGGTCAACCCGAACCCGAAACGGGTCGGTTAGAGTTCAAGAAATCAACCTGTTTTAAAAATTGGGTCGGGTTCAGGTTGACCCAACAACCCGAAATTGACCCGAAAGTGACACGAAAACTCATATTTGACCCAAAAACCCGAGATTGACCCGTTTTGACCCGAAAATTGAATACTTACTCGATTTTTTACCCGAAAATTAGCAATTTTAGGTCGACGTCGGGTCATTCGTGTCGGGTCGGATTGACCCGAACCCGAATCGGGTCGGGTTCGGGTCCGGAAACCTGACTCGTTTTTAAAAATGGGTCAGGTTCGGGTTGATTTCTTACGAGAAAAGACAACACAACTGGAAAACAACTGGCTTGAACTAGGAAACAGCGATGGTCAAAAACGAGAGTCGTCTTTTCCTTACCCTATCGAGTAAGCAAGTGAACTACCTTCGTTTCACTCTCCAAAGCCCAATTGGAAAAGGGGAGCGAGAGGTCAAGATCTCGAGAAGTTCCGGGAAAGGGACCTCTCTCTCTCAATCAAGATGAGGCTTTCATCTAGGGAAAAGTGTCTTCCATAAATCATTCAATCGCGCTTTACTCATACTTCAATACATAAAACCGAACAGTGTCGGGTCAGTTCCGGGTTCGACCCGAACCCGACCCGCTGACCCGAATTGACACCCCTATCTATGACCAATATCTAAACACTTTCCTTCTAGAAATTTAATTTGACAACTATATGGTCTAAAGTTTAGATCAAACAATACAAAGATTTCTCTTAGCTCCTTACATAACTTCTCAAATCTAACATTTTTGGAGACACGATGGCTTCTAGCGATGCATGCACGAATGATGAATGATTTATGTAAGGTAATATCATGGTATGAGATTCCTTGGGGTTTCTTCTTCTTAGTTTGTGGCTATACTTGATGCCATTGCTTTGTACACCACAAAAGTGGATTTTTTCTAAATGGATCGTATTTCCTCTATTCTCTCCGCTCTCATAGACGTAGACTTGTTAAAGTCGAACCATGTAAATCTTGATGCATTCCACTATAATTTGTTTTTTCTCTCGTATGTTAGCTTGTGCCACATCATTCTTCATCCCAGTGGCACTCCCACAACTCTTCTTGCATGCCCATAGTTACTACAACTTATAACATAGATAGCAAAAAAAAAAAAAAAAGATGATCTTACAAGACCTTTTGCAACAAGAACACCATGAAGCTACCAAATTTAACCAACGAACAATTTAAAATCAGATATCACACACCATATGTTAAACCAACATTTCAACCAACCTAATATGGCTTGATTGCCAACTGTAACAAAACCAACCCACTTTTTTTCTGTTCTAGCACCAATATCATGCTTGACTTTCCATTATTTGCCAACTAACCAAATCAACTTTCCAAGATTATGATCAAAATCCACAGATCCACCTCGCACACCGTTATTATCGTCTCATCAGAGCTAAAAATTCAAGATCATCTTGATCGATCTTGAACTAGATGGATAGAAAGTTAAATACTAAACCAATAGCTACAATCCTATTTGACATTAACCAACTCGGAACAAATTTAATTTAGTCAAACCATATTAAACCAGACAATAGTACTCACCAGTCACCACCCACCCAAGACACAAATCATACCTTAACCATGCGTTGCATAAAAAAAATCCCAAACTCCAAACAAGCTCAAAGATCGAGGCTTTCAACTTCCTAATCTAACCTCTAACTAATACCAAAAGAGATGCAATCAACAGCTTTAAACAATCTTATAGGATAATCTGCAGCAAAAAGACAAGATCCTGCAACAAAGATCGACATAAAGTACTCGAAAAAACACTAATTGAGAAAAGAGAAAGATCAGATAGTAATTAAGTCGTTGCTTCCCTCACCTTCAGGGGGAGTAACCGGCGGTGGCGGTGTCAGTGGCGGTGAAGTGAGGGTTTCTAGTGCTAGTCGATATGTCTTATCCACTCACAACAAAAAGCTTTGTCCTTTTCTAATGGCGCTACACTGTCCACGTACACCCACACTTTGTTACTATTGCACAGATCACCCAAATAGAACATTGGAGTAAAGTGAACATTGGAGTGTAGTGAACCCCCAAATTTCTCATTTTTCATTTCGGCTTATGCCGAGTAATTAAAAATTATAATAATAAAAAAAAAAATTAGTCCTCCATTTCACCTAAAAAACAATAAATATGTAATTTAGTTGGTAAAAAAATTATAAAATTTGTAAAAAATCTAAAATTAAATGCTGTTTAAGCCAATTTGCATAAATATTAGAGTTTTGTTTTTTTATCAAGGTGTTGTGATAGGATTTATTAATTAAAAATTTATTTTTGACTATGAATTTAAGTTATATTTTATAATTTATTTTTCATCATTTTAAAAATTTTAAGTATTAAAATATAAATTAAATTTATTTAAGAAAATATTATTTGTACTGCAAGATAATATTTTATATTTATAGATTATTCAAAAAAAATTTAATTTGTTTGAATTATGTATTCTATCATGATTCAAAATGCAAACTCTGACCATCAAACTAACAACGTTAATATTGCATAATTTAAATAAGTTTTATTTATATAAATAAATAAAATATACACTTATTCAATTTTGATTTCAACCCATCTATATTTTGTTTATGTATTTAAATAAATAGTATTGAATTAAAATCAAAACTATGAAAAAAATAAACAAAGGTAATAAAAAAAGTTTCTAATTATTAAATTTATTTTGAGAGAAATAAACTTATGTGAAATTTTATCTTACGTTTACGATCCTAATCCAATTGTTTTCCTAATATTACACTCCAACAAAATTGATTTGTTAAAGGAATGTAATATAAAGTACAATGATGATGGTAGTCAGTGCATGATTAGTAGCGATGGTGACAGGCGATGACAAGTGGCAGTGTGGTCAGCAGCTGGTGATGACAGGCAGCATTTGACAATGGTAGATGCCAGTAAAAGAGGAGTTAATGGCATATAAGATACAATGTACTTAAAATATAATTAAATCTAATGATTTTTAAATAACATCAAAATTAATTAGATGCTAAATTTCAAATAACTCAAAATTTTACTTTTATAGTTATTTTACTTCAAATTAAATAACAATATTTTTGTATTTAAAATACTTCACAACTATTTACTTCGTATCAAACAGCCCCTAAAGGAGGAGAGATTATTCTATGTGGACTTTGAACATAGCTCTACATTCTGAGGCGATTCAGGTGCAGCCACATTAGCGATACCGAGCATTACTGAGCCGCAGTACTGAACATGAGTGATGTGGTACATTCTGATTGATCTCCAGACGCAATTCGACATTTGCACAGAATAATTTTTTCTAAAGAGATCTCATTAGATTGGTTTATTTCTCTTAACAATGCCTAACAAGGCAATACTCAGGCTTGGCTTCTAATCATTAAACTTTTCCCGAATCCATCTTAACAATCCGGGCCTTAGTTACTCCATAAGATTAGACAAATATAATTAGCTTGGCTTAAAACTTCGTCGACTACGTTGTTCTTGTAGGCTTGTACCTTCCCCCATTTCTTCTTGAAGCTCACCATTTGGCGCGCACTCGGACGAGCGATACGTCCGGCGAAGTATCAATCAATCCTACAGCGAAAACCCAAAAGCAAGAAAAAAATCTTTCTTGACTCTTAAATTACGGGCTGGAGGCGAGGCATTCCGACTCGGGCGATTCGCACGATGGCGATGCTCAGGTCCAAGTCTGCCTCCGTTTTCCTTCATCTTCCCCTCCTTTCCTGAGATCCGTAAAAGCAAAGTAAATTGATACGAATTAGTTCCCGCGACACCCGCAATCGGTTTGAATCGTTTCGATTCCTTGCTTTCCATTTGTGGATCTTCATCTGCTTTCTGTTACGGTTATTGTTTCTTAAATTGGCAGTAGGATTTTACGAATTGAGGGTTACTCAATTTCGGTTTTGCGGGGATATTTGGGTTCCGTTGCTGGATCTGATTACGTAAGGTCGTTGCTGTTAGTGTGAGGAGGAGCAGAAAGTGTGGAAAGCGAGGTGCTATGCACTTTTTTTTATGTCATTTGTAAATTTTCATTTCCTATTTTTAGACGAAATATTTTTACGGTTGTACATGCAGAGGCTGGTCCAGCGTAAAATTTGTTTCTTGATTGCAAGATTTGTGTCTAAAATTGACCACTTTGCTTTGTTGATCCCAACTGAATAGCTGTTTGGCATCGACTAAGATTTAGTAAATCTTTTAAATTCTGATTTTGTATATCTTGAGAGGATGAAAACTATTCGGTATGACAACTTCTAAATCTTGTAAAATTTTGATTAATTATTTAGCTATTGGTTTTAGGATTTAAGATTTAGAAGGGGGAGAAATCCTCAAATATGTTAACTATTGTGAAAAATGGGAATTAACGAATCATGAATTAAGTAATGATGATGCCGAAATATAATTTACCGAAACGGTAGCATTTAAAATCTAAAAGTCTGTTTGGCAGGATTTAAGTCAACTTTTGCTTTAATCCTACCTAAAATAGGATATCAAACAGCCCAAATAGTTTTCTGCATCCAGTTAAAATGTCTATAAGTTCGCTTCCCATCTTGCTTTCATTAGGTTTGGTCATTTAATTGTTGAGTTTGGTGGATTTTTCCATTTGATCCTAATTTCTTTTTACTAAACGGTTATGCTATACAGATGGAGAGTGTAGAGAAGATGGATATTGAGCTCAATGAGCAAGGCCTTGATGGTTCACCAGTGTGTGTGAAAAAGATGCACTTATTTGAGCATATTGGGCCATTGGCTGCTTCTGCACAGTCATATGGCCCCAAGAGAACTCATAGTAGAGTTTTGATGAGTATCTATATTGTCATATTCAAAGCGAGAATCAACGTTTTGGTGCCTTTTGGACCTTTAGCTGTGGTTCTTCATTACCTTACAGGAAAACATGTATGTTCATACTGCAACTTTCTGAACTGCTTTTTCCATTTTTTGGGAAATTTACCACTTTATTTCATGCTATTTACATTTTTTTGGGAAAACATGTACGTTCATATGAAATTTATCTAAAACATTAATATTACATGCCTACCATCCATATACAGCTTTAATATCAAATATACAACTCATATAATTCATTCATACCATCTTATAAACTTTAATATTTCATTCCATGCAGCCAAAGTTGTTTTGTGGGTGGTAGGCATGTAATATTAATATTTTGGGTGTTAGATATGTAAATAGTATAAAATAAAGTGGTATGTATATATACCACCTTTTTTTCTGTGAATTTCGGCTAGACTTGTGATTTTTCTTGTCCATTTGGATGTTTTTTTGGGTATCATGAAGTTGAGGCCGATATAGCTGCCATTAGCTTGAAAATTACAAAACTATAACTTTTATTGCTGCCATTAGCTTGAAAATTACAAAACTATAACTTTTATTTTTTCTATCTGTTTGAGATTTTGAGCCTACATTGATAACAATAATTCATTCACTTTTCAGGGATGGGTTTTCTTTTTCAGCCTTGTAGGTATAGTACCTTTAGCTGAGCGCTTAGGTTATGCAACCGAGTAAGTATGACTCACCATTACAATTCAAGCCTACCGGCATTACGTTCATGTGCTAATTAAATTGGCTAATTGGCATTTATCTTGGATGATGCAGGCAACTAGCATACTATACTGGGCCTACTAGTAAGCTTTTGTCCCTACTGTTTGCTAGATACATATTTCTTTTTGTGTTACAGTAGTTATATCATTTTATCGAATCATATGGTTGGCAATTGCAGTTGGAGGTCTTTTAAATGCTACTTTTGGGAATGCTACTGAAATGATCATATCTATTTATGCTTTAAAAAATGGGATGATTCGTGTTGTACAGCAATCTTTACTGGGATCAATATTGTCGAATATGCTCTTAGTTCTAGGCTGTGCTTTTTTAAGTGGTGGGATTGTGCATTCCAACAAAGATCAGGTTTTCAACAAGGTATCTGCAACAATATGCTACTTGTCCTATATTATGTAATTTTCTTATATGCATGGCCATAAACGGTAACTTTATTGTTCACGGTGGGAAGTTCATTCACAACAGGCTGCTGCTGTGGTAAACTCAGGGCTATTGCTGATGGCTGTGATGGGTTTAATGTTCCCAGCAGTTCTTCATTTTACACACTCAGAGGTTCAATATGGGAAATCTGAAGTGGCTCTATCAAGGTTCAGCAGTTGTGTCATGCTTGTGGCATATGCTAGCTATCTTTTTTTTCAACTCAAGGGTCGGCACAACCTCTATAGTCCAATTGATGAGGTCAGTCATCTGTATAGCTCAGTTCCCAAAGAAATTAGTATTTGGAGTACCATTCATTCAATAACATTTCTTTCAATCTTCTGTTCATCAAAAGTAGTTTAATTTTGTACTGCACTTTTGCTAATTTGAAGCAATAAATGTTATATTAAACTACATTTTATTGTGTAAGTGACAGAAACATTCCCTATTGTTTGTTTGATGTCCAGTTGTACTCTCAAGTGTGTAATGAATTGATAGGAAAAACTTGAGTTCACAAGTAATCCAAGAGGAAATACTTGAGTTCGCAAGTAATCCAAGAGGAAATACTTGGGTTCGCAAGCAACCCTAACAATAATTGATAAGAACAGCGGAAATAATGTGATATTCTCAATGAAATCAATTCAAAATGAAAGATTGTAGTAGTAAACTCAAAACAAAAGCAAACACAAAGCAATATACAATCGATCATCAATTCGAGAGGAGGATCGTTCTCTCCCAATCTCTAGAACATGAGTCTAGAGCCCAAGACGCCAAAGAAACTTCAAGAGAAACAAATCAAAGCATGAATCCCTAACCCTAGCCTCTCTTCTTCTTTAAATACATATTTTCCTAATAAAAAGCCAATAAAGAGCTTCCTAAAATAAACCAATTTCAAAATAGTTTCTTTAGGTGTTAGTCGCCCCCTTCCCTCTCTCTAATTGCCGCCCTAGGAGGGGGGGGAATTTCAAAATAGTTTCTTTAGGTGTTAGTCGCCCCCTTCCCTCTCTCTAATTGCCGCCCTGGGGGGGGGGGGGGGGCACAAGCTTGGGCTGCTATTTAAGGAGGCGGCTTAGCCCGCCTCCAATAAAACTAAACCGTCCTAGGTGGGGCCGGTTTGGTCGGTTCAGGGAGAACTGTATTAATACCCCATTCCCAAAGAACCACTTTGTCCTCAAGGTGGAAATTGAGAAACTGATGTTTCACCTTCTCATAAGGTTGCCACGTGGCCTCGTATTCCGGAAGGCTTTTTCACTTTATCAACACTTCTTTAGCTCCATCTCCCATTTGGCTAACCCCCATCAGATCTAAGGGTTCCAAAATCACCTCTAAGTCTACCGTGAGTGTCACCGGTAACTCTGAGCTGGCTGCATAATCTCCAATTGCCTTTCTTAATTGGGATAAATGAAAAACTGGATGTATAGTCGCCGTTGGTGGTAGTTTTAGGCTTTCAGCCGACATGCTACAACTCCAATCTTCTCCAATACTTCATAAGATCTAAAATACCTTGGAGCAAGCTTCTCATTCCTCCTGTTGACGACTGTCTTTTGTCTATATGGTCGAAGCTTCAAGAACACCCTCTCCCCTACTTCAAACTAGATGTCCTTTTTATGCCCATTGACTTATTTCTTCATAATCTGTTGTGCTCTCAGTAGATATCTCTTCAACTCCTCTAACACCCTGTCCCTCTCCTCCAAGTACTCATCCACTGAAGAAACTGGAGTAGTGCTACTCCCAAAGTGCACCAAGTGAGGAGGATCCCTTTCGTACAACACATTGAATGGGGTCATTTGAGAAACAAAATGATAAGAGCTGTTATACCAATACTCGGCCCATGATAGTCACTTGGCCCATAGTTTAGGTGTCTCTGACTTAAAGCATCTCAAGTAGGTCTCCAAGCTCCTATTGACCAATTTTGTTTAATCATCCGTATGCGGGTGATAGGTGGTGCTCATCTTCAGAACTGTCCTTTGTAATCTGAACGAATCCCTCCAAAAGTGGCTGAGGAACACTTTATCTCTATATGATACTATTGTCTCTGATATTCCATGCAATCTGACCACCTCTCTGATGAAAATTGAAGTCAGATCCTTCAGGGTAGGATAAAGTGTTTATAATCTCTCTATAGCCTTACCTTCAATATCCACAATTTACTCCCTACATTGGGAAGTAGCATACTTCACCATTTGCGTGCTCACCAAGTCTTTGATCACCATAAGCACGCACTGGACCATAGCAATGAACTGCCTTATCACAAAGAAATTCATCTACTTCCCCTCCGCATGCATCGTCCGGGCAACTCAACATATTAGGACTGTTTCATCGATGAGCTTTGAATCTAGTGAACCGACTATAGTCCAAATCCAACCGGCAAGTTTCTCAATGACGATTATGTCCGTAGCAGTAAAGAAGGCGAGAACATGATATGAAGTGGTGTTCGTTTAAATTGAGGGATTGGTTCCCGTGGCAAAGTGATGCGGGCCACCGCCGACCGGCAAAGGGAGGGCCGGCGACCCCAGGGCGCGCGGAAGCGGACGGAAAGGGGGGCCGCGCCGGCCGATCCGCCGAAGGGACGCGGGGGGGGGATGCGGAGCGGAACGGGGGAATCGGCCTTGAGCCGAACCGGTCCAATCCTGGACCGGTTTGGCTCGGGTCAGCCTTGAGCTGGGCGGTTCACCTTGGGCAGCCCACTAGTGGGTTTGGTTTGGTCTTTTGCTTGCTATAAGTAGGGATTAAGGGGGGATTTCTAGGGTTATGCAAAAATTGGGTTTTCTCTTAGCCACCTTATTTTCTTTCTCTAAGTTTTCTAGGGTTTGTAGTGGGAGACCTTGTCCTTCTCGAAGTGGACAAATTGTATCTTGTTTTCTCTTGGATTTTAAATGCAAAGGTTCTTGCTCTTCATCCCATCTCTCTTGTGTTTATTTCTCTTTGATTTGGTGGAGAAATCATATCTTTGAAGGAGCATTAGGGCAAACCCAAACTTGGGAACCCTAGGGCGTATCACAAAGATCTTGGCAGAGGTTGACTTCTTCTGTTGTCCAAAAGGAGGCTTCGACCTTCTTGTACATATGCCATATCTGAGGGTAGATCCGAAACATGCAGAAGCAGTAGGGATTTGGGGCAAGGAGGGGCTCTTCGATTGGAGGATTTGATGTCGTGTACAACAGCTCTTCAATCGCTCGATCCTTGCTTGGTTTGGCTCCAACACAAGCACGAGGGCTGGTCGTCCCCGCTTAGGCACGGAAGCACGCATCTCCTGCTCACTCCTTCTCTTGATCCTCTTCTTCATTCGGTTCGGTCCACAAGTAGGTACGCACGAGAGCGCACACAGAAGACCGCAAAGGGGAAGCCCTCTCACTTGCTTGGCTGCCTTGGATGCAAGCGAGCAGGAACAAAATGTAAGAACCAGCTCTCCCTCTCTCACGCTGTCATATTTGAAGAAGATCAGAACGCCTTTCTCTAATACCATGTTAAATTTCAGAGAATTGGAGAGGAAAAAAAGGCTTCATTTTATTCTATAAAATTATCCCTATTTATAGATCTATACATGATATCTTAATAAATAAACAAATAATTACAGAATCATGCATAATTGTCCTAATATAATCCTTCCTAAATCAACCACTCAAATATGGAAGGAGATCAGTATGATCTAGGTGAGCCTCCCACGGATTCCCATCATGGCCGTGAGATCAAGTGTCAAGAAATGGCTTAGATTCAACCACGGATTCCCATATGGCCCAGTTCTTCCCTTTGGGGTGATTTTTATTATTGTTTTCTTGTTTTAAATTATTTAATTACTTTTTGTGTGTGTGATTTGAATTTTCTGAAGTGAGATACATGCTAGGTTTTCTTTTTGAAGCATGAGCTTGATTCATTGTTAAGGTTTTATGTTCATCTCTATTTTTGGCGGAATTTTAGATTTTGGTTGACTATTAACTCATCTTTTGGGTTGAACAAAGCATATTTGTTGTCCTTATATTAAAAGCAACAATTTTGGCTAAAATTATGAGTTTGTAGCCTGCATATTATATACCTATTGTTATATTTTCATCTTGTTTATCATTCTAGGATGCATTAGACATCCTAGACCTATGACTGTGCTACATCACATTCTAGGATGCATTAGAAATCCTAGACCTATGACTGTGCTACATCACATCCTAGGCTGAAGTTTTTTTACATTGGCAATATTATGATTTCTGAAGGATTTACCCACATGACTTGTGTTGAGTGTTAGTTTGCTTTTTTTTAACTTTTAAACATGAATGATTCGTTTTTTTTTTTTGCACCATTTGTTATTCTACATTTCTTTGATGTTCTATAATATCAGTAATTGACAAAGTGGAATTTATTTGATGTTTCATGGTAGCTTTTACAATTAAACCATGCCAAGTCATCCCATTCTTGAATTCTCAATGGAGACGGAATTACCTGTATTCTCTATTAACTGTTTATATTTGGCCTTTTCTGTTTCACTTCTGGGAGACATTCTTCCTAGCTTTATGCTGTATGTGAAGTAATTAAATTGGACTGCTTGGCACATTTCAACAAAGTATATTTATCAAAATGAGAATCCTAGAATTTATGTGCAGTAAGGTTTGAAAGTGCAAAATAAGCTTGCATAAAATTTGTGAATTTGTTCAGAAATTAACAGGAAATTATTTGGTTAAGAAGACTAGTGGTAGAGATGTCAAGGCGGTGGCCAAAGTTTTATTGTATAGGGTGGTGGGCAAGGGGATAACAGAAAAAAAAAAATTAGAATTTGCTCAAAAGAATTTTGTTAGCTACAACTAATACGTAGTTACGTACTTCACCTCGTAGTAATATTATAGTAAAAGAAATATGTATGAACATAACTGGAATTTGTTTCGAAATGTTTGTGGCAGATGATGGCATTCTTTTTCATCAACATTCCTTAAATTTTTATCTGCAGAAACCTAGTTATATTAGGAAAGAAATACTGTTGGCAGGAACCATAAATAGTTGGCTTTTCCCATCTTCTGTTATTCTTGTTTGCCACTAGCATATTCAACCCTCAGCATTTAATTCTTATTCCTATGATTTTAATTATACTTCTGGGCAATTTCTGTCATCGTAGGAAGAGAATCAGAATGATGATGTTGATTCTGATGAAGAAGACGCACCTGAGATAACTTTGTGGGAATCGATAGCATGGCTTGCTGTTTTGACTGCTTGGGTTTCTATTCTTTCTGGATACCTTGTTGATGCCATAGAGGTAGCAACTGTTTTGATTCCTGTTATTTTTTCTTCGTTAATCAAACTTTTCATTTTGATTTTCCTTCGATCTTGAAAGTTAATCAAGAATGCAACAAAAAATAGAAAAATATGCTGAAAGATAAACTGTTCATGAGATTGATGAATTTCTTAGCGATAGAAGCCATAGACGAGTGGTCTAATGCCCGCTTGAAATTTTCTTGCTATTGGCCTGGACATCAATAATAGAATTGAAATGCAGTCTTAACGTTGTGATTTGTATGGCAAAGGTCTTCTAGGATTTAACATAAATCTCTTGATCCTTTCTGAAATAGTTTTTGATAACTCATGATTATCATTAGCCTTATCCAAATATTTGGGGTTGGCTGGAATAGTTCTTGATAGCTGATGGTAATATATGCTTCAAAATAAATAGAGAAAGTCTTCTTTAGCTGAAACCAGGAGGTTGAATTCACTACAAATAATGATTCCTTACTTGATTGACCTTTTCAATTATGTTTTTTCCGTTTTCTTGATTAGCTGTTTCATCTGAGTTTCTAGATTCTATTTATTTTGTGTTAGAAATTAATGTAGCAAAGGGATTCAGCTTGTTAAAAGCGCCTTCTGTAGAATATACTCCAAAAGACATCTTAACTTCTGAAGAGTCCGGAGTGAGTGACGGTGTACAGAAGGAATAAAGAGGGACTGAGATAGGAAGGCCAGAAGATAATTTTTGATTTCATTCACTCTAATGCTAAAGTTAATGAACTAGATTCATTTTTAGAAAATTTAGCCTATTTTCATGTTGTCAGCTAACTGGTTCTAGATATTAGATCATACAAACCTTGGTTCATAATCATCATTTGCCTAATCCTTTTATTTGATGCTGGCTTTATGAATCGTTATTCTCCAATTACTATTGTGGAGTGCAGCTTGAGCTTTCCACCCTTGCTTTCACAAGTTATATTGCATGACTTCTAGCCAAACATTGAATACTAGGTTAAACTTACACATATATATTTTTGATAGGGCGGTTCCTCCTGAACTGGCCCAACCGGCTTGCCTCCTCTATGCTTGCCGCCCACAATAGTGGGTCCCACTATTCCAATTTAGTTCAAATTGGGGAGACCTCATTGTTTTCAATCACTCTTTTCCTGGTAATCATTTTCCACTTGACTCCACTCTTCCTTCTCAAGATCAATAACTCCTTATTGCTTGCTTCTCATATCAAAATATTAAAGTTTTAGACTTCATTTCGAACAACTTTCATTGTTTTCTAAAACAGCTTTTTAATACACAAAATTATACTTCAAAAATTTTTTTAACTAAAAAGCTATTTTAGAAAACATTAAGAAAACTGTCACAAATGAAGCCTTTAGTGTTTAATAATGGAGCAGATAAAATGCTTGAACTTGATAATTTTACATCTAATTTTTAAGACTACTTCGAATATTATGAAAATTCATTTTATCAAAGCTATGATTATTTTTTCACACATATAAGCTTCTACAAATTATAAAGCTTATGACTATAACTCTTATTTCTTAACACTTTAACACTAATTCTCTCCTAATTATAAGCATATTCTCTTGTAAAACATGTTTTATAAAGGATATTTCTTGATTGTTGAATAATAGGCTAAAGACTTATTATCCCTCATCTTATTCAACTAGTACAAGCTATATTCATTAAAGTTAGAAGTATTGCTACTAATATTATTTTAGCAAATGAGATTGTTAAAATTTCAATAGTACTACTTCTCCAAAATATGTTTCTACAAAAATTGGTCTTCAGAAATTATTTAGTTTTGTGAATATGCCATCACTACTCCAGAAACTAATTCATAAAGGTCTTATTAAATTGTTAAGTGGATTAGAGTTTATTCATGAACACTTAAAATAAATAATCCAGCAAATATGAACAAATACCTCTTGTTCGTGAACAAATTTATTATATTAAAAGAGTCTAACATAAAAATTAAATTATTTTTTTATAAAATATTATTTTTATCTAATATTGCATATATATTAAATGGACTAAATTTTAAATTGAAATAAATTTATTTATATTATTTTAATTAAAATTTTTTTAATCAATTATTTAATAAATTAAATTACTAATATTTAAAAATCTTATATAAAAAATATTCATATAATATTATATAAAGAAATAAATAAATAGTATCTCCTCATCTCTCTCTTATTGGTACTCTCTCTCCCCTTTTTCTCTTTCTCTCCCTCCCTATCTCTCTCTTATTTCTCTTTCTCTCCATTTAAGCAGAATACGCTAAAGTATAAAGGGCATTCAGATTAAGCCAAATAATTTGGCGTATTTGAAACGCGCTAAAATATTTAGCGATTTTGCTCTATTTTAAATTATTTTTTAAATATGCTCCTTTAGTTAATTTTAAAAAATAATGAGCTCCTCCTTAAAAATTGGCCCACTTGTATCTTGTTTTCGTGTTTGTTGGCTTTGATTCTCTTATTGCAATCCATCATTTTTGGGGCTGATTTCACCCAGACTTTGCATTATTCTCGCTGTTTTCACCAATTAGTGATAGGTTTGCTTGTGAACTCAAGTATTTCTCTTAGGATTACTTTCGAACTCAAGTATTTCCTATCAGTTTTGCAGTCACTTCTAACCACCACAATAACTATATTCCAATGACGTGGCCAGACACTATGTTAAATCCTTCAGTTTGAAAGTTGTATTGAAACTGATATTGTGGGGATGCTGCTCATAGTTTTGCCTTTGTTCCTTTTCCCATTATGAGCTGGAAAATTTTCAGTTTTATTGTGTTTGATGTAAAGTTGCTAAAGTGTATTGTGGTTGACGCCCTTAATCAGTTCCTAAAGGCTTAATGTACTTGCTTTTAAAGATATATTCGTATTGCATTCTAGCTCTTCTAAAATTGCTATTTCAACTTTTATGTGATGCAATATTTACCGTTGGTCACTCCTCAGTAGTTATCCCTTGTTTATGAATCATTTTATAGGAATTGTAATTGTTGTATGGAATTCCACAAAGGAATAATTCCGTCATAACATGTACGAACGTTCATTACATACAACTGACTTAACTTTTAACTTAAAAGCCTAACCATAGTCGCAAGATAATTAAAGGAACCATCCATACGAAGGCAAACGTGATAAATACAAGAAAACATATTGGCATATTTTGGGCAATTAAATCCTTACATCCCTTCTATTTGGTCCTAACAGTGTATGTCAATCGTAGAAATGATAATAAAGTACATGAAGGAGAGTTAGCAGCTATATTTCTCCTTTTTCCCATTTCTCTACTTTTCTCCCCTCTTTTATTCATGTTAAAATTGTTGTTATAATCTTTTTCGGCAGCTATACTTCTCCTTTCTATTAGATACCTTTCTCTACTTTCTTCCTTTTTTATTTATGTCAAGTTCTGTGTTATTCAATTGTTGTTAATATTTTACAGGGCGCATCTGAAGCAATGAGCATGCCAGTGGCATTTATCAGTGTTATTTTGCTTCCTATTGTAGGAAATGCTGCTGAGCATGCAAGTGCCATAATGTTTGCCATGAAGGACAAGCTAGTGAGTGTTTTGAGGGTGTGCATATACTAAGAAATATAATTTTTCTATTTCACTTGGCATCATTTTTTTCTTCTTTCTAGGATATCACTTTGGGGGTTGCAATAGGATCGTCTACTCAGATATCAATGTTCCTGGTAATTCTCTAAACATCATTGCAAATTTTAACTTTTCTTAATGGATCTGTACCCTCCCTTTGTTTTTTATGCAATGGAAGAAAGTTTGTTTTGTTCGAGTTCCTACTTGCTTTTTTCTTTCTTCACAAATTTGTTGGTTGTTGCATCGTTCTGACATAAATTGGTGACTATTCTATTGCATTTGCTTGAACTGGTCAGTTAATTAGTTGTTATGATGAGGAATTTCTTGCTCTATCCCATATTATGAACTAAACATTTGCTGAAATTTTTGGGGTTGTATGCTTGCATGCATTTAGAGTCGTGTACTTTAGAAATGCTATGTATTAGAGTTGTTTGGTTGTACGTCAAGTAAATACAGTTGACTGTTTTATTATTTGGTTGGATGCAAAGTAAATACAATACAAATATTTTTCATATTTAGTGTAATTTAAAATTTGAAATCAACAACATTAACAAAATAAAATGGTAAAATTGCCTTCGGTGATGATTAATGATTTAGTTTACTTCTCATATAGGTGATTTATCTTCTTAAATTTGACTTTGAACCCAATAGCAAGCAACTGCTTATTGCGTCAATACTATGAGTATAATGCTTACTCTCTAAAATAAGAAGGTTTTGGACATAATGTGGTGGGAAGTAATCATGTAAAGGAATCAATTCTTTGTAAGAATACATTAAAAAGCAATTTAATGTAAACTGTTTGATTAATAAAATGGGCAAGAGAAAATATAAATGAGAAAAACAAGATGGATGAAAAATACAAAGTCGGAGAATATAGATGGGAAAGGACCAAGTTTAGAAAAAAAATATTGAACCGGAAAGAATAGAATCGGACAACAAATAATGAGAGATTGAGAAAGAAACAATTGTTTCCTTGTAGAGAAGCATGATATGCATGTGCCGGCCCAGGAGGGCCGGCTGGACCGGTCCAGGTCTACTCGCGGCGGACGAAACAGGGAAGGGGGGCGGAAGCAAGGTGGGCCCCATGGGGGGTTTAATGCAATCTTTTGGGGGGAAATTTTGAATGTAAGGGCTATTTAGGTATTTTGGAGAAATCCATTATTGTTAATTAGGAGGTTTTGGGGGGAATTAGGAGCATCGAGAATTTGAATGTTATTTGGAGATCTAGGGTTTCTTGCTTGGGCTCTCGGCATTGCCGGAGATTAGGAGAGTTGTTCTTCCTCTCGAATTGAAGAACATTGTATCTTCCCTTATTTTTATTCATCTACTAGTGGATTACAAGTCTATTGCTTGGTTTTCTCTCAGATTTTCCTACAGATTTCTCTGTTTTCTACTGATTTCCTGCTGTTTGGGCTGTTTTCCTGCTGAAAACAGCAGATCTCTTGCTGTTTTCCACACCCGAATCGATAGGAATACTTGGATCTAAGTATTTCCTATCAGAGCAGCTGAAGCATGAGCATGACTTCATTTCTGGATATATTGATCTAGTTTGTTAAATTACTTGTATGCTGTTTTTATAGGAGAATATAGTGCATTTAAGATTTGTTTGGTTGGATGTAGGAAGTGCGAAGTGAGGGAATTGAGCCACTTCGATTGTTTGGCTTGTGGTAGAAGTGGGAAGTGACTTGTTTTTTGAGGAGTTGATAAATATAATTTCTAGCCATTTGACTATGAGCTTATTTTAACCAAATTCATACTTTTCGAAGTCATTAAATGTGATATTTTTATTTGTTTGCAAAATTATAATGCCACTCGCACATGCACTCATACATACTTTCATACATATTGAAATAAATATAATTTATTACAAAATATTATGGAATACATAAAAACTATATATAAATACTAAATAGTATTAATATATTGTGGGATTTAAATACCACACTGTTCTTACGAATTTACATATGTAGCATCTAAATTTTGATATTTACTAGTATAACACTTTAGTTTTTCGATCACATCAAAACCTATACATGAAAATGTACATTTTACTTTAGAAATATCAATATTAGGAATATTTTTTATGTGATTTAAAAATTTGGTGTTACATAAGTTTATATCATAATTTAGACATTAGATATATAAATACACAAGAGTTGTGTGGTATTCCCGAATAAAGAATGCATAATTTATTATTGTGTATACTATGTATATATTTATAATGTTGTAGATAATAATTTATTTTAAATTTGTATGTGCATGGTATTCATAGTAATGAATAAAAATTATTTTATATGAAACAAAATTAAATATATTATTATAGTGTATATTGTTATGTATAAAATACCTTTGGTGGTCCCGTCTAATCTAGTTTGTAAGGTCTTGCAAATTATTGCTGAGATTTTGGGTTCAAATCATACCTTGATGCCTAATTTAGGGGTTTAAATAAGTTGAGTCGAATATTTGCTTAATAGAACTGAGCTCGAACTTGGTTCATTAAAAAAAATTTATGCTTGAGCTTGTTTGGAAAGCTTGAGCTTGACTTGATTTTTTAAATTTTATTTATAATTTTTTATTTTTAATATACAAATAAAATAATAGGAGTATATAGAAATAATTTAAAAAGGTTAAAAAATATTCGATAATTAAATTTCAAAATATTCTAAATTAATTGAACGGCTTGACAAGCTTACGAGCTAGCCAAGTTGAGCTCGTTTAATGTATGAGTTTGAGTATAAGCTTGACAATAAGCTCGAGTTATGAGCTCGTTAACTAGTTAAATTCAACCTAGGTCCCGAGCCAAGTCAGCTCACTTGCACAGTTGCACCCCTAGCCTAATTAAATTCCATATTGTGGACTTTAGGATGGGTTAAAAAGGAGTATAAAATCCTTTTGGCATTTTATAATTTGCTTTTATTTTTATAATTGGATTTAAGTTGTATTTATGTATATATGTGAGACACTTTCACTTTCTCCACAAGTAAATAATAGAAAGTAGGGTGTTTCATTTCCCACTTCTCTGATAGATAACCAAATAATCTTTTTACAAGTGTCCTCAATTTTCACTTCTAGATGTGGAAACTCCTTTTACTTGCGGGCAACCCAAGAGGCCTTAAGCCGCAGATGGAAAAGGGTATGCAGAGTCATGAGCCATGAGCGATGTCTACTATGACTCCAACCTGAAAGTGGCAGTGATTGTTGAGTAGCAACAAATTACGGAGCAAAAAAATGATTTTCGGAGAGATTTTTTGTTTGACGTGAGGGATTTTTGTTCATTTTGCTTCATCCATGATGTGAAGTAGAATGTTCGTTTTGGCTGCATCTACTTAGTTGAAATAAAGGAGGGGGCGGGGGGATTCCAAATTTTTAAATACCAAATCCAAACTTCAAATCAAACAAGGCAGCTCGTTACATATCGCACTGATCATGTAAAACTGGATCCAGAAAGTTTCTCAAGTTCCATATATAAGCACTTGAGCCTCAGCTTGCTTTGCTTCCAGTTCCATTGGAAGGCATCTCTTGCCACTGTAGTTTTGTTTATTTATGAAAACATTCCTTTCACTCCAATGACGTCCATAGCAAATAAATGAAGTTGCAACTTGTTCAACATAAGACATGCATTATGAAAAACCTTTTTGGAGGTTTTCGTTGTGATATATTATTCCAATTAATTCCCAACAAGTGAAGCAATACTTGTGAGTAATTTGATTCTGATAATGTCAGATTCCTTTCTGCGTGGTAATTGGCTGGATCATGGGAAAGGAGATGGACTTGAATTTTCAGTTGTTTGAGACTGCTAGTCTGTTCATCACAGTACTTGTCGTTGCTTTCATGCTGCAGGTATGTATTCATCATATATTATAACGGTTATTCTTCGGTTTGGCATTTTATCGAACTTATAATCATTTTTCCTTCTTAAGGTAAGTTTCTCATTAAATTCTTTCGTGAAATTGGCCATAATTTGTTTGAATATTGTGACTCTATGTTTGCAAACATTATTACGAAATCAAATTCAAGGCTGTATTTATAATGCCGTCACACTTGCACACAAACTTTTCTTTATATATTTTATCATGCTGACATTGTCTTTGCATGGACTCTACCCATAAATATCAAGATTTGAAACAGAAGATATTTCCGTAGTGTAGATTGAAAAAAAAAAATACTGTATAGAATAGTTAGGTTCTAAATCCTACTTTTCTGAGTCTTGATCTTGATGTCTTTGGATAAAACATGTCCTGCTGCTCCTTGTATAGATGGAATTTGCAATTTTGAAGATCAGTGTGCTGATGTCAAAAAGTTCATTGAGCTTCATGTTATTTTCTTTCTGCTATCTTTTTTAATGACCATCTAATAGTTTTGAAGTGGAAGACAAATTTTATGCACATTATGTTTTCAAAACAAGGACCAATTTGCTGAGCTATTCAAAGGTCATAATTGTGCTGATTAAAGTTTTATTCACTGATCCAAAACGTTCAATCACAGATCACCTAGTGGTGGCAGACTATAATAAGCTACAAATTGGCTGCATTCCGGCAAATCTTAACAAAAAATCTCACTAGTTTACAAACATAAACTTCTTAGCTACACTATGGTACCAAATAACCATCTTGCAGAAATTTCACTTGAAACTCTCTAAGTATTTATTCTTCAAATCGGCTAACATGCTTCAATGGTTTTTTTTTTCTATCTCCCAATTTATTATAAACCACTGGACATAAAAGAATAAACCGCTACAATAAATTGAGAGGATTCCTAAATTGAGTTTGTTTTTGTGACCTGCATGTTTTGGTTTTTTGTCTGTGATACTCCCTGCCTAGCTGACTGAAGATTTCAATCTTAGATGACATTTTTGTTGTGGGCCTGAAGAAAAAACTTCAGGCTCACCTAATATAATATGAGATTGAATGGTCATGTACATGTAACTTATATGTTTTCTTTGTTTGGAGACAAGGTCAGATTTGAATAATCTCTATTGAACAAGTAGAGTTTTATGCTTACCTGCGAGCTTTTCTTCCAGGAAGGTACCGCCAACTATTTCAAGGGGATGATGCTTATCCTATGCTATCTTATTGTTGCTGCAAGTTTCTTTGAGCATATCGATCCTACTGTCAGTAAGTCCTGAAAAACTCGAGATGTCTTTTTAACTTATTTTTTTAGGAATATTAAAGAATACAGCAGGTTGAATTTGAAGGTTAGTTTGTATCTTCCCTTTGTATTAAAACTGAACCAATTCTTCGCCACTGTACAAATCTTCTCCACAGTTCCAAAAACAATATGGGTAATGAGTGAATCATATCTACTTATAATTAACCCACTTTTTTTAACTTTTCTTGTTGGGTCTATTTGGTTTTAAGAAATTGGTGGGAATATAATTGGATTTTACATGATAATTGTATATTAGTTGTTTGATTGAATGTAGTTACTAGAAAATTGGATTTAACTGGAAGTATTAACAAATGCATCTTTTCATTAATGGTCACCTATCCAGCCCAAACGAAAAATGTGAAAGATAAATTTCTCTAGCCATTTTTGTGACGCGCATGCCCTCATGGAAACAAAAATTCAATTTCTGATCAGAAGAATAAAATATAATAATTAATATATTGGTCTTCTATCATTTTCGTTATCATTTCCTTCAAATTCGTTCAAACCTAAAGCGCCTATGAGAAAACATGAGGTAAGTGGGTAAGGTCCTCTGAGGGAAAAAAAAAGGAGAAAATAAAAATGAAAACGGAGGTTTCCTCTGTACAACAACTTCATTCTGAGGCCTGTATTTAGCGAGAGATTATTTTGTGTGGAGACTAGATGTAGAACGTTGTCCGAAGACCAACCAAAATATGCCACGTCAGTAGTACCGAGCATAGGGGTGATGTGACACATTCTAGTTGGTCTCTAAACAACTTTCAACATCCGCACAAAATAATTAATCGTATCTAACGGCTCTGCATTCCAGAATACACATTAGTAGTGGACAACGAATGTCTGTAACATAAAAAGAATAAGATCATGATGTGGTTATTACAACTGATTATTATCCCCCTCTTTTGAACAAAAGCCTCATCATCTATACACTCCTCTCCCTTGCTCTCAGATTCTATTACATTTTTGTGAAACAACATTCCATGTCATAATCCTCCCCTCTTGTTTATTTTCAGATGATAATTAGAATTCAATCACCAATCCATCCAGCCAGTTGCAGCACGTAGGCAAGAAGCCATTGCCTTCCACAAATAACAAAAAAGTTTCCATCTGCAAAACTGGATACTTTTAGTGGTTTCTGAATATTTCCCCCTAAGGTAGCCTTGAAGCTTGATCAGCACAAAGGAATTAAATAGCAGTGTATCTGCTTACCATCTCCACATCATTTTTGCTGGGAGATGTTTTTTGGAATTTATCTACAGCAGGGTGGTCTTCTACTGCCATTTTCATTTCTGGAAGCTGGTTTTACATTGAACATTTTAAGGATTTTTCAGATGAATAAAAAGTCGAGAGATCCAGTGTTGTATTCAGAAATGATCAGATCATTGATCATGTACACTAAAAATTTGTCTTTTTTTACCTGCATCTTGTAATGTAATCCTACTTCTAAGCTGTGGAAGGAAACTGTAAACTTAAACCCAACTCTTCAATACTGGGTGCCTTGTTCATTATGGTAGATAGAATTTGATCAATGAAATATAATTAGGGACTGCAGGACTGTAGGGGTGTAAACTAATCGAGTCGAGCTCAAGTCAGCCTTGACTCTAGCTTGATTAATTAATTGAGTTCAAGCTCGAGCTTTATTCTATAAGTTCGAACCCATCTCATGTATTATGAAAGAAAAAAATGATTATGATTATGATTTAAATAATTATTATAATAAAATAATTAAAAAATGAGAAATTAAATGAAAAATAATATAATTTTTAAATATTTTTGATGAAATAATGTTCATGCAAACAAACCCTTCTGAATCAATTTATTATGGTTTTGCCATTATTGAAACCAATAAGATTTGAATACTCATCAAATGATCAATTCCATATTTGTTCATTTCATCATCAGGTTGTAGTCGTTTTTGGGTTTATAGGCCCTCAATGAAGTCATGTGGCTACATCCTTGCCTAAGAGTTACAATAAGAAGTTGCTTTACTATTGTAATTTAACCATCTTTTAAGTAAAAAAAAAAAATATTGGCTCGAGATTTTCGTTGAATCAAATTAAGTCTTCGTTTGGGGTAGCTTTTTTCCTTATTTTCTAAAGCAGCTTTCAAGTACAAAATTTTTAATTCACTAAATTTTTGTACTAAAAATTAGTTTAAAAATCAATAAAAAAACTGTTTCAAAAAAAAAAACTCCAAAAATGAAGACATTCATCCAGTCAATCTCATTTCATCATTATTAAAAAAAAACTCCTATCACGTGACAATAAAAACACAAGAAGAATTATGAGCATGCTCTCTCTCTCTCTCTCTCTCTCTCAATATGAGCTAATATGTGATGCTCCAGTGACATTTTTTTACCATAAATAATTGATTGAAGCTGACATGATCACAGCATTTTGATTCCTTTAATACAACGATACTGCTACCAATGTACGAGATATTATGACACATTTGAGACTTTCAACATGCTTCTAAAAATTATATAGCTTGGATCAGACAATTGTGAAGAACAAAACGGTATGTGGAAATAAATTCTGGAGTAGCAGTTTAAAATCGTCAGCTAGGCCACAAACATCTCAGCAGATGGGTCTCTCATGGTTGTAGAAACCAGCTTATCATAATCCTGCAAGGAAGTTGGAAAATAATAATAATAATAATCATTCATATATTGGATGAGACTAATGGCTTGCATTAATTTAGATGAAATATGCGCATCCAGTGGAAATTATTTTTTGCTAGGAACCTTGAATAAAAGAAGGGCAGAGTTCAATGGCGAAGCCAGAAAATTTTAAAGGGGCCCAACTTTAACCTTGCTTCAGCTGATTTTTATATTCATATTCAATTAATCATTTTAGAATTTATATGTATTATGAAAAAACAATATACTCTATGAAAATATGCTTGCAAATTCTACTAGAGTTTTTCTTATTTTAGAAACCGCTCGTGGGAAGCACCTGACGCACGCTTTTCTAAATTTCTTCCAATAAAAGTCATTCTCTTATATCTATTTGAAAACATGCCCAAAGCTGATAAAACATGCATTCAACAGTCGAGAAAAAAAAAACATATGACATGCATCATCATTATTAACCTTATCCCAACAATTTGGATAGGCTCTATGAATCACTATTCATCATTCATTTTTATCAAGTAGTGCATGTCGTATATTCTTGTAAATATTGCATGCAACATCTACATTAGAAAGTTATAGCTAATTTTGAAAAGGAGAAGATCAAAGTTCCAATTTATGTACATACCTGTAAAATTTTCTGTGCACAAAGTTTACCAGATAAAACAGCACCTTCCATCGAGGCTAAATACTTCTGCTTTGTGTAATCACCAGCCAAATAGAACCCTTCAATTGGTGTTCTTTGTAATGGGCGACATGGTTCACAGTTTGGAACGGTTTTGTAAACAGATCTGGCAAAGCATATAGTGTATGAAGATGGACTAACTTTCATTGAAGCATATATAAAGCTTCTGGGTTTTTAGCAATAATAGTATAATGTTTGTAGTGACAACAGGCTCTAATCATAATAGTCATGACTAGGGAAAATATTAGCAAATATGATATCAATATACTATCAATAAATTTCACCGGTCATGGTTGCGGTCTGTACTGACAAGTACAGAAAAAAAGATGGTTTGCCTGCAACCAATGCATAAATCTTCGCGTTAAATGATCCATAACTAGTTTCATATTCAACCAGATGCAATTAATTAGCACATTTTCTAACACAACTTTTATGTGCATTAGGCAACATTCCTGTAGCTTATTTGTAGTTGAATTTAATTATTAAATTCATCTTGATTATGTTCTGTGCCATATCAATTGCTGTTACATTTTAGCTTAAACTTACCAAAAATAAAATCTTGTTGCAATTTTTTCTTCATTTTAAATTTATATAACAACAAATTCTTTGGTTGAATTCATGATAAAAAATGGGCACATGAATTCTATGACACATCAATTTGTTATTTGCAAAGAGGTGCATGTATGTCGCATTAATCTTGCATTGCAAAGATGCAATTTTTTTATTTGAGCATGTGATCTCCAGATTACAATGGAGGAAATCTAATCATTTCTCTAAACGTCTCATTTTCTTATGTTATTTCATCCTTTGGATAAATGTATAACTCAAACAAATTTAATTTATGATTTTAGTACTCACCTTGGTGTTTTAACAACATGATACTTCAAAATCTTTGCCTTGCTCTGATCTGCAGAAATTTCGTCAGGGAATAATTTTGCCAATTCTATCATGGTAGCGTCAACAATATCGCTATCGCTACGTGATATCCATTCTTCTGCAGGAGCAAAGACTAACTCGAGCATGGATCGGTTCGGATCATAATACTCCTGAATGAATAAAAAACAAACACTAAACTCCTGAAAGAAACAATTATATCCAATTTCTTATTTAGCATTAGAGGTGCATCTTTTTTAAGGAATATGACGGAAACCTGAATAGGTACTATGATATAAAATTTTCAGATAAAATAAATTGTTAAGAGTGATCATAGGCAGATTTATAAATTGCAAAATTTATTTGCGTATGGTAGTAAAAATGTTCTTATGACAGACCCAAACATTCACAATTTGACATCAAGAAAGCAATAATTGGAATATACTGCATACCAAAAGAAAATAAATAGTAAGATTTTTTCTATCAATATGTGTACGCGTTTGAGGGACTCTACATAACACTATTCCCTGAAAATATTGCTCCTATCAATATGTAATTCTAAAAGAGTTTGTCAAGATTACTCAATTTTCAGGATTAAATTATTAAGTTCTACCCTGAAGCTTTCACTTTATATTAAAAATATTAAAGAGGGCACACTCAGTTTGTGAGGTTCCCATCAATATGGGATAGGGGAATGAACTTGATGTATACAGTCTTACCCTCAATTATAGAGATATTGTTTCCACAAAACAGCTGGCATAAGTGGTTCAAAACTTCGAAAGATTGGACTTCAAAAAATTATTCGAGAATTTCAAGGCTAGAATAATTCGAGCATAAAAGGCTAGAATAATTCGAGCATAAACAGATCCACTGACACTTGAGTTTCAAACAACAACAACAACAACATCAAGCTTTTGTCCCACTACGTGGAGTAGGCTACATGAATTCTTTTTCTCCATTGTGGCCAGATAAAATTCAAATTCTCATTTAAATCTAATAAAGAAAGATAATTTCTAATATTTTCCATCCAAGTCTTTTTAGGTCAACCTCTACCTTTCTTAACATAGGTCAAATCTAATACCTCTACTTTCCTAACCGGGTGATGTGAAACCGTCAAGAATTGCACATGAAATTCATTAAGAATCACAAAGTAGACTAGTGTAAGATTAGAGTATCGTAAGTTAAGGTTCAAGAGTTTTCCATTGTTAAAATGTTATGATAAGCGTGATAAGCGATTACAAACTAGTTGTTTGAACACAATTAGCGATAGATCTCAAAGTTATCACAATAAAGCAAATGCGGAATAAAATAGAATCCCAAAGCTAATATTTAGAAATTTCGCAATGAGTTACCTTGCTCACTCACACTCAAGTGGGGGTTAGCGGGAGAAAGTCTTTAGCAAACCCAACGATGCCACGAGGATGGTAGCAAACCCAACGGCCTTGAACCACGGAAAGGTTGACGGTGGCGAGGACGGCGGGAACGATCGACTATTGATGTTCCAATCGTTGCTTGGACTTCGGCGGTCGATGACGTCCGCAAGAATCAGCACAACTCGTTCCAAGTACTCTTCAACGGTAGAGTCATCTTCAAATCCCACGTCAAAGAATGGGGATCGTAGGATATTAAGGCTTCAGTCGGCGTTGAATACTAATCCCCACTCAAACTCCGGGTCCGCCATACATGCTTGACGTTGGAGAATCCTTCAAGGAGAAGAGGATTAAGTGGCGGTGAGGGGGAGTCCTTGCGTTGGAAGGAGGAGGAGGGAGGAGCCGGCGGGATTTCCAAGGGGAAGGGGGAGTTCGGCCAAGGTGAGGGAGAGGGGCGGGTACAATGAGAGAGGGGATCTAGGTTAGATGAGTGTAGCAAGAGAATTACTCAAATCTGAAATTAATCTCAGATTTTAGTAAATTTGGAGGGAATTATTTGAGACTAATTTCAAATTTCAAATGTAATTAAGGGGGAGTAATGAGCACTTAATGGAGCCCATCAATAGGGGGGACGGCGGATTCACTAGAGGAGGGAGAGAGGGTTTCAATTCAAAACCTGAAATTTATTTCAGGATTTTGAATGAAAAGGGGGGAAGATTAATTTGAAATTCAATTTCAAATTAAGGGGGTCATTAATGCATTAGTTGGAGAATTAAAGGGAGGGGCCATGCCTGGCCGGCAGTTTTGGGTCGATTTTCCTAACCCGGATCGGGTTCGCATCAACCCGACCTGACCCGTAATCTATTAAATGCATACAACAACAACAACAACAACATCAAGTTTTTGTCCCACTACGTGGAGTAGGCTACATGAATTCTTTTTCTCCATTGTGGCCAGATAAAATTCAAATTCTCATTTAAATCTAATAAAGAAAGATCATTTCTAATATTTTCTATCCAAGTATTTTTAGGTCAACCTCTACCTTTCTTAACATAGGTCAAATCTAATACCTCTACTTTCCTAACCGGGTCATTGGAAGGCAGCCGATTTATGTGACCAAACCATCTAAGGCGACTCTCTCTAGTCTTATCTTCCACTGGAGCTACTCCAACCTTTTCATATATATGCTAATTTCATATCCTATCTCTAAGGGTAAACCCACTCATCCACCTAGGCATTCTCATCTCTGCAACATTTAACTTAGTATTATGCTTCTCTTTTAATGGCCAACATTCGGCACCATAAAGCATTACAGGTCTCAAACATTTACAAAATAGGTCCTACATGTGCTGCTAGCATCAAACAAACACAGACTTGTAATAATAATAGAATATTGTTACCTTACATGTTACAGACATGTCTGCGTACACACTCAAAAGAGGGCTCCTGAAAAAGAAAAAATGTTAAACGCATTCAAAACACTTAAAGCAATGGATACAAAATCATGAGACCCTTTAACAGCATTAATATTTTGCCTTGGTAGAGAAACAGATGAGAATGGAGACAACGTTTATATTGGATTGAATGATAAATCCTTCATTTTCAGCAACCGAATAATACATTTATTAAGTTATGGTATGTAGCATGAGATCAAGAGTTAGAATGCATATTGTGGAAATGAAACGGAGAATAATTTCAGGAAGAGACCTAACAAAATGAGCCGGAGACAAAAGTAAGAAGTTTTCAGCCGCTAATTACAAAGAACGCAAAATAGCATGCAATTTAACATCATTTTCTTGTGCTGGCATTTTCATTCACTTTAGTATAGAAGGATTTGTCACTCAAGATAGATGCAACATTATTTCAACGATTTTTCTAATTTAGAAAAGTCAAAAAGTTGTTGTCTAACACTTAAAATTTAGAAAATATCAAACTTCTTCATTTAAGAAGACAGTATGACTGAAGTTCCTTTGATTTGCCTAACAAATGTGAGCAGCTCATGTCTCCTAACTGATGCAGTTCATATTTGTGATATCGATGATCAAGTTAAAATTTAAATATTAATCCATTTAAAGGGCGACTTAGCAGCATGTGCAAAATAATGCAAACTGTGGATGTGAAATATAATTGTTCAATCACAAGAAGTTGAAGCTGGTTTGGAAAAACATGAAGTTTTCCTCCTATCGTTATTTGACTAGTTTTTTAAATTTAAGAGAGATTGCATAAAATGTCATTAAAAGAAGCCTAAATTTTCCAAGATATTGAACAGGCACAAGCAATACAGACCTGCTAAACAAAAGATGATCGTATGTGTTCTTCAGTTTCCTATCAAACCTGAAAAAAGTTTTACAGCTGAGAATCCTTACATAACCAATTCATACTATTGAACAAATAACTGTAGCTGTGAACATGGCGCTGGAATATACCATAAATGAATATTAATCACTGGGACTCCTACTAATTTATTCAACCTTTGGAAGCATGGTATTTCTTTCCACTCCTCAGGCAAGAGAAGCTTCAAGATATCAACTGAGAATTGCGAAAAGATTGTTTTTTTTTAACTGCAAATTCAAACTTACAGAATCACTCCAGATAAAACTTTTAGAAGCTAAATCATACCAGGGGTGGCAAATACATAAGCATCTCCAGTAATAACACTTCCGTTGCTCAGCAAAAATTGCTTAACCGTTCTATCAGAATTCAACTCAATCTTTTGTACACGAGAATTTAGTTGGACTTGTCCACCTAGTGACTTAATGTGTTCGACAATTGGCATGCATAGCCTCTCAGGAGGGTTACCATCCAAAAAGGCCATTTTTGATCCGTGCTTTTCCTGATTAAATTTAAAAAAATAAAACCAATTTGGATCATCTCTTATATGATTGTCTATAGCGGTAACAAATATTTTGCTTTCAAGATTCAGAAATGGAATGAAAGTGAAGGACTACCTGAAGGAAACGATTTAAAGCAATTAAAATGCACTGCATAGAAAGCTCATCGGGATTAATGAAGTTCAGAGCTTTTGACATGGCAATGAAAACTTCATCACTGACTCGATCAGGTACACCCTATAACCAAGAGAACAAATAGATTTCTTATTTTTTATACCCAAAATAGTATATTTGTTAGGTTAAGATCAGAATGAAATAGCATCATATACTGATTTTGCATGCTTCGAACTCTAAAAAGGACCAAGCAAGGGAAAGAAACGTCAATAAGATGCTTTATTAAGTACCTGCTACAAGGCTTTCTCTGGGATTTGATTATTCCAACCATTTTTAATTATAGCGGGATTCCATTTTAAAAATATTTATTTGGATCTTCGGAAGTTATATAATGGCAAGAAGAACAGTTTGACAACTTGGTACTAAAAAGTTAAAAATTCTACGAATTACATTATGCATCATTTATTTACAACCAAAACTTAACTAGAATTTAAGTTGCTGCATTGCAAGAACAATATAAGGTTACAACACCTGCCGTTTCATCCACTCTTTGACTGATAAACTATCCTGAGCCTCAACATAGGACTGCCCCCCAATCATGGCTGGCAAAAGCCCAATAGCAAATTTCACTTTTTCTGACCATGTCAACATTTCATTGTTCTTTAAGATGGCCCATATACCTAGCAATCGCATCCTCAAGCATTTAGTAATAGACCAAATAAGGAAAATGGAATTGCCAATCATTTTTAGTTTGTAAAGTGATAGACTTTTGTTTCAGCTCCATAAGAATATGTTCAAAATAAACAATTTTATTTGATGATGTCATAAAACAATATAAGTTATGATTATTATTGTTCAAAAGATAGAATATGACAAAAAAAAATCATATTTTACATTTAATCAGTTCAAAGTAATACTGGTCAAATTTAGCATACGCTTATTACAATAGGAATGATAACTGACAAGGGAAATTATGCAAAATCACTCAAAAGCACCCTGCAAAAACAATGTTACAGGATCACAACAAGAATGGAATGATGCTTTGATCTCACATATGTTGCATTTTTTTAAAAAACAACGTAATAGTCTTTTAAGATAGCAAAATTGCATACCATTAAAGGGAGCTGGAAGATACTCTGGAAAATCAAAGCGGCTAAATTCTCCTGGCTTGTTAGGCATTGCAAAAATCATGGAGTGCTCCTTCCACTGCAATCGATCATTAATTCCAAGCTCCCCAAATAAGTTCTGTATGTTGGGATAAGCACCAACTACATTCCATAAAAGAAGGATGAATATTTTAGTCTTGGTTTCAAATGCAACTATTTTGCACGCAAAACTTGGGAAAACTACTAATTCAGCTGTTGGAGCATGAAGAAAACTTATCTTGTAGTTCGAAACTGTGTAACCTGGGCAAAAAAACTAAGTATCTCATTTAGTGATCACACTACACTTAACAAGAAGCAATCAGGGGACGGTGTCCAAGTTTTTTTTATCAAGGAAAATGGAAACAAATCAGAATCGGATCTATGGATACATTTTTTTGTTTATTTATAGTTTTTAAAGTTTTCAGGAGTTTGTTAGACCGGCCGACTGGACCGGTCTAGCCGTTCCAGACGGAACCGGCTTAGGCGGAACAGAAGCGGAGAGTTCCGCCTCTCCTATTCATGCAACCGAGCCGCTCTGTCTAAGAACACTGTTTAGGAAGGATTTTTTAGGAAATTAGGAGGGAAATTTGAATGTAGGCACTGTTTAGAGATTTTCTATTGGATTGTATGCATTAAATAGTTTGTTTTCTTAGGATTAAGGCATCTTGAATTTGGCTGAAATTTGAGATCTCTTAGGTTAAGGTTTTTGGGCTCTAGCGGCATCTAGAGATTTGGGAGAGATAGATCGTCCTATCTAATAGATGATCAATTGTATCTTGTTTTTCTTCTTCAGTTACTGGATTTTCGCAATAAAACCACTGTTTTCTTTTGTTTTTCTCCAAAATTGTGGAGTTTTCTAGCTGTTTTTGTCTCTATTGTTAGGATTACTTGAGGTCCTCAAGTTTTTCCTAACAAATTGGTATCAAAACAGATTTTGGGACCAATTGTTGTCTGATTTTTTACAAAATCAGAAATGTGTATATTTTTACACCTAATCATTAAACAGCATTTGCTAAAACCATCTGAATTTCATGAGTGTAGTTTATAGGCATCATACTTCAAATTCAGCTCACCAACACTCTTAATTTCTTCACTAGTTCGTGAAGCAAGAATTTCGCAGTTCACTGCCCAAGGCAGTAATTTTTCTATATCTATCCTGTACTTCATGAGTCCCTTTTCTATATAAAAATTTGAAGTATCACGTATATGCTCATTTCGTATCCTATCTCTAAGGGTAAAGCCACTCATCCAACTAAGGTTAAACATATTAAAATTCAAGATAATTAAATTTTAGTTAAAGATTATACTAAGGCAAAATAAAAAAAAAAATTGTAAGGAATATTTTAGAAAAGCTTAATCAATAGTATAATCAAGAATTCCATAGAACAGTTTAAAGTGCAAACCTCGGATTAGCATTAAGGAAGAGCCAAACTATAAACTTTCAGCTTTAAAGATATATGCATTGATATTAGGATAGCTATGCAAAATATTAGAGTAACTTCGTAACCAAAATATATATTTTTTTTACCAAATCCTTAAAGCTAAAAGGATGCCAATGCCAAATGATTGGAAAAGCATCATTCTGATATCAATATTGAAGATATATGATTTAATTGGCTATGAAATGTAGATCCCCAAGAAGGATAATAAAGATTCACTTATAGCTAAATTGAGAGTGGCAGAATAAAAATATTAAGATGAATGTGTGATAGAATTAAAAAGTGATAACATGAAAAATATGTGTAGCGCCAATTGAAGATATAATAATGGAACATAAACTTCGGTGGTTTGGGCATCTAAGCAAGCAATGCATCAATAAGGTTCATATACACTTCATGAATGTGCAAGAATAGTAAGTATAACTGATAGACCAAGAATAATATGGCTTAGAGTAAAGAGAATTGTACAAAACAGAGTTAACTGGTGTAGCACTCAACAAGAAAGAATGGACAAGGAAGATGATAAATCAGATCCCAAATAATTAGGATGAGGCTAATGTTGATGATGAAAATTATATTTAGGGATTAATAAATATTATTAATTGAACATTACGTGAAGGTGCACGTAGTTTTAACATCACATAAAAATCGCCTCAACATCAATCATATCTTTGTTACTATATGGAAGTCAAAAGCAGGAAATCAAGATAGGATCATAGGATACGTATCTAGATGCAAGCAACCATGGGTAACTTACAGAAAATATGGAGGCCTGTTTCATAATAATCTCCATCTTTATCTTTCCAAGCAGCAATCTAAAACAAAAAGCAATCATTATTATTGCTTGATCTACAAATTTACTAAACAAAATTAGATTTCCAAAGGCAAAGGCTAAGTAAAAGCAGAGAACTTAAATATTGAAGTGTACTAGCAATATTTTTTTAAATTCGCATAATTCTATTAGGATGTCTCATTTTTAAGTTTGAGACTTCTGCGTAGGTTGCTGAAAGTATACTTCTATAAGAGAATAATATTGGCACATGAGATATCTCGAAACACAACATTTGATATATGTAAAGTATGATCCAAAACAAAAGTAGACCAAGCATAATCACAAAATATGAGCATAATTAGCAGGTTTGGCATCTATATTTTATGGAAATCAAAATATGGATAATATTCACAATAAACTACAATAATCTGACCATGAAGCGCTACAAGTAAAAGTTTCTTGGTCTACTATGAATACTCCTAGGGCTATTTATGATGGCTCCCAGGTAGTAATAGTCTAGCTCATTTTGTTTTTTTAACTAAAATAAACTGAAAGACTTGCATGGAGCACTATCAGTGGCGGAGCCAGAAATTTTTTATAGGAGGGGCATAATTTCAATTTTTTTATTTCCCCTCAATTTTTTTCATTTGGGATTAGAATCGATATTTACAGTTTTAAAAATTTTGTTTATTAAATTTATTAGTTTAAAAAGATAGAATATTACAACAACTTATAATTTGACAGAGAGATCAAATGCCGAGTGGCGAGAGTACAAGATGGAAGATGAGCAAACCGAAATCCTTTGGAGCATTTCATCGAATACATTGAAATTCACTAATGCACTATAATGATCTGAGTTTGTGTTCTTACTAAGCACATATCCATGGACAAATATAATAGGAATCCTATTAGTTTTTTTTCTAGGTATGACCGATCATAAACATGAACAAAGATACAACTCATTTAATCATTTCTAAGAAAATGAAAGTCACAACGCTAACAAAGTGCAGTATTTTAATACATTAGCTTCATACAAAAAAGATGGAAACATAATCTATTGGTAGGTTTAATAGTAGCATAGCCCAAAATAAAATTGAACGGGATTCTTGAACATGATAAGAATGTACCTTTCCTCCGAGAACATCTCTTGCCTCTAATAATATAGGTTTGTGGCCAGCATCAGCAAGGTATTTTGCTGTGGATAGACCAGCCAAGCCTGCCAGAAAGAAAAAAAATATCAAATCAAAATCAAGAGGAACACAAGAGCTCCAGTAAAACTGAATTGTATTGTATAGACCAACTCTTTTCACTTTTGCCAAGAACCATTATCAAGAAGCTTCAAACTGAATTGTATTCTTGAATAGACAGAAATGACATTCAATAACAAACTTACAGGTAGAGTGTTATACCTGCACCAGCAATTACTACTGCTAGAGGTTTCTTGGGCCGCATACAATCACGAAAGGATGCAGATAACTTAGCAGCTTCTAAAAAGTTAATGGTGTTTTCAAGCTCAGGCCTTGGATAATCCGAGCAGAAAACCTACACACAGACAAATGAATGTGGTCCTGTCGCAGATATATCTACAGAAAAGCAAACATCCACACTGTTTTTTTAAGAGAACCTGCATAGAGCCATTTGCAGAGTTTGATTTCACTTTTGAAAACCAGGGATCTGGAACTTCAAAGATGCAGCCCATGTAATCACTACTTCTTGATGCACTTAACTTGTTCCATCTAGGGTCCACATCAATGGAAGATTTTCTAGCAGGATTTACATCCCAAGAGCTTTTCTTATAGAGATTAACACAAGGAGGCCCAGCAGAAATAAATCCAACAAGAGTCATGTGGCTAGGGTTCCAGAATCCTGAGAAAACAAATATCAGATGGCAGTCTAAAAAGATAAACCTCTCTACAAAAACATTAATCAATTCCAAGTTACATACTCAAATTGAAACCAATATCAAGATTCAAAATTACAGCC